TCTCAAGGATCTATGAAATCTCCCAAGATTTCTTTAGAGCTGGCAGAAAGAATCGGTCTCTTACTCTATTTTTTGCTGATTTTAAACAAATGTATGAGGAGTTTAATCATCTTTTGCCAATTACCTCTGATGTTAAGACGATGCAGGAGCAACGAGAACAATTGGCTGTTATGGGATTTTTGGGAGCACTTGGACCAGAGTTCGATGCAGTTCGTTCACAAATTCTTGGAGGAAATACCGTGCCTTCACTAACGGAGACCTTTTCTCGGGTCTTAAGGGTTTCACGTGAGTCATCTAAGGATATATCTCCCATAGGTGATAGTTCTGCCTTGGCAATCCAAGGAAATCGAGGTGGTGGTCAAGGTCGTGGTGGTGGTCGTAGTGGCCGTGGCTTTAATAGTGGTGGTAGTGGCCGTGGATTCAATAGAGGCCAATCACAGTCATATGGTAGCATCTCTAGTGACAAAGGGAGTAATACCGGACCTGCACGAACATGTCATTATTGTGGTATGCCTGGACATATTCAGCGTTTTTGCTATAAGCTTCATGGAAAGCCCCCTCATTCGGCTGTCGCTAATGTAGCCAATGCAGTAGAGTTGGGTGTTTCTTCGCAGTCTTCTGAAGGAGGAATACTGATTAGAATGTCAGAAGAGGAACTTGCTAGGTACAATCAGTTCCAGATTTCTCAGCCAATTTCCTCTTCCACAGCTACTTTTGCTCAGACAGGTAATGCAACAGCATGTCTTTCCTCTACCTCTCGCCCCTGGGTCATTGATTCAGGTGCTACCGATCATATGACTGGATCTTCAGGTATCTTTTCTGTCTTTCACGAGTCTTCGTCTAGTGTTACATTAGCTGATGGCTCTCTGTCCACAGTAAAAGGGATAGGCACAGTACCACTGACATCCTCCATATCTTTATCCTCTGTCATGTACCTCCCAAATTTTCCATTTAACCTTATGTCTGTTGGTCATCTTACCAAAGAATATAACTGTTCTATAACCTTCTATCCTGATTCCTGTGTTTTTCAGGATTTGAAGACGAAGAAGACGATTGGTAAAGGACATATGTCAGAGGGACTATATGTGTTTGATAATGCTACCAGTGTAGCTTGTTCAGCAGTTTCTCCACATCAAGTTCATTGTCGCTTAGGACATCCCTCTTTAGCAAGTTTGAAGAAAATTAATTCTCGGTTTCATTCTTTATCTAGTTTTGAGTGTGAGTCGTGTCAGTTTGGAAAATTGCATCGTATTAGTTATAGTCCAAGAGTCAATAAACAGGCTTCTCGGCCGTTTTCTTTAGTTCATTATGATGTTTGGGGTCCATGTCCTACTGCTTCAAAGTTGGGTTTCAAGTACTTCGTGACTTTTGTAGATGACTATTCAAGAGCCACTTGGCTATATATAATGAAAAGTCGTTCTGAATTATTCTCTATTTTTTGTGCGTTTGTTAATGAAGTACATACTCAATTTTCTGCTTCTGTTTGCATTCTTAGAAGTGATAATGCCAAGGAGTATTTTTCTAGAACATTCTCTGAATTCATGTCCCAACGGGGCATTCTTCATCAATCTTCTTGTTCGGATACACCACAACAAAACGGTGTCGCCGAAAGGAAGAACCGTCACTTGTTAGAAATTACTCGTTGTTTGATGTTTGAAATGAAGATAGATAAATCCTTTTGGGCTAATGCTGTTATAACAGCATGTTATCTTATCAATCGCATGCCGTCCTCTGTTCTTAAGGGTGCCATTCCTCACTCTCTTCTTTTTCCTTCTGACCCTTTGTTTCATTTGCCACCTCGTATATTTGGTTGTGTTTGTTATATTCGTGACCATCGTCCAGGACTTTCCAAACTTGATCCTCGATCCCTTAAATGCATTTTTGTTGGGTATTCTCGTACACAGAAAGATTACCGTTGTTATTGTCCTTCTTTACATAAGTACTTCACCACTGCAGATGTTTCCTTTTTCGAGTCTACTGTCTATTTTGATCATTCGATGGAGACTCCTACAGTGGATGATGATTCCTTAACATATGTTATTATGGAATCAACACCCACTTCGGATTCTCCGGTTATTCCTCCACCTGTCCAGTATGTTTATAGTCGACGTCCTCGTCAGCATGTGGAGCCCCCTGCAGATGTACCTCAGCCTATCTCATCTACTTCGTCTTCTCAACCTGAGGTAAGTCGGTCACATACTGATCTCGATATTCCTATTGCTCATCGCAAAGGAGTTCGTAGTTGTACCAAACACCCTATTGCCCGGTTTGTCTCATATTCTGGTTTATCGCTTCTTGTCGAGCTAGTCTAATGACCATTGATAATCATCCTATTCCTAAAACATTTTGAAGCATTATCTAGTCCAGTGGAGGGCGGCTATGGAAGAGGAATTACAGGCACTGGACCAAAATCAGACTTGGGATCTTGTTCCTTTGCCTGTAGGGAAAACAGCCATTGGATGTAAGTGGGTATATACTGTTAAAGTTAACCCTGATGGTTCTCTTGCTCGTCTCAAAGCTAGACTGGTTGCTAAAGGGTATGCACAGGCTTATGGGGTTGATTATGGTGATACTTTTTCTCCGGTGGCTAAGATGACCTCCGTTCGTCTTTTGTTTTCTTTGGCTGCGTCTGCTTGTTGGCCTCTATTTCAGCTCGATGTAAAGAATGCCTTTCTTCATGGAGATTTACAGGAAGAGGTGTATATAGAGTAACCACCAGGGTTTGTTGCTCAGGGGGAGTCTGGTCATGTTTGTCGCTTAAACAAATCTTTATATGGCTTCAAATAGTCTCCCAGAGCCTAGTTTGGGAAGTTTACTGTGGCGGTACTCCAGTTTGGGTTGTGTAGATGTACTGGAGATTATTCTATGTTTTATCGAGTTTCTGGAGCTGGTCGGATATTCCTTGTAGTTTATGTGGATGATATTGTCATAACTGGAGATGATTCTACAGGGATTAAAGAGTTGAAAAGGTATTTGCAACAGCAGTTTCATACAAAGGATTTGGGTCTTCTTAGATATTTTCTGGGTATCGAAGTAGCACGGGCGAAGAAAGGTATTTATATCTTACAACGAAAATATGTTCTGGATTTGCTTACAGAGACAGGTATGCTAAGTGCTAAACCACTGGATACACCAATGGAAGTGGGCTCTAAATTGACAGCAGAAGATGGTGAGCTGTTGGATGATCCGCAGAGGTATCGAAGACTTGTTGGAAAGCTAAATTATTTGACTATCACTCGTCCTGATGTTTCTTTTCCAGTGAGTGTTGTGAGTTAGTTTATGTCTTCTCCCCGTACCTCACATTGGGCTGCTGTAATCAAAATTTTGAGATACTTGAAGAAAGCTCCCGGTCGTGGTCTCATTTATCAGGATCATGGTCACAGAAGGGTGGAAGCCTTCTCAGATGCTGATTGGGCAGAATCTCCTATAGATAGGAGGTCTACATTAGGGTATTGTACCTTTGTAGGAGGAAACCTAGTATCTTGGAAGAGTAAGAAGCAAAGTGTTGTGGCTAGATCAAGTGCAGAATCAGAATACAGAGCTATGGCTCAAGCTACCTGTGAGCTAGTTTGGATGCGTCAATTATTAGTTGAACTTGGATTTGAAGACCCTGCGCCAATGGAGTTGTGGTGTGATAATCGAGCAGCTGTCCATATTGCCTCAAATCCAGTTTTCCATGAGCGTACCAAGCATATCGAAGTTGATTGCCACTTTGTCCGTGAGAAACTTCAAGCTAGAGTTATTTCTACTAGTCATGTTAGGACCGGTGAACAACTAGCTGATATTTTTACCAAATCTCTAGGGGGAAGTAGGATTGAGTATATTTGTAACAAGCTGGGCATGCTTGATATCCATGCTCCAGCTTGAGGGGGAGTGTTAAAGGGTATAATGGTCTTTGGGATTTTGATGTGTATATATACCGTATTTTCTGATCAATAAAATATATATCATCATTCTTCTTACAGAGTTTATATCCATTTGAAGTTTATTTATTTGATACTACAATAGGTACCAGGCTCAAAGTAAGAGGGCAAAATTCCTAAGTGGGATCGAGAGCTTATATATATTCGACAAAATACCTTTTCTAATGGAAAATAAATTAACAATAGAAAAGCAAAGTTCAACGGTGAAACCACTGGACTAGGCGTGCCCTCGTTACTGTCGTGATGCTTTGTATGTATTTATCTTGTTTGACCACTTGTCTGGAAAAAATGCACGTCTCCACCCATTGCTTGTCATGTGTGCAGATCGGGCCAATTTAATCTTATTTTAATTTGGACTTGGACCGGACGAAGCTCTGTCTCTCTTTATCTCTCTCTTCCCACTTTTCATCTTCTCCGGCAAATCCATGTACAGTCTCATCCCAATCTCTCTCTCCACTTTTCTTCTTCCCAACAAATCCACCATTGTTACGTTTATTGAAATTTTAACAGCACTTATCTTTTATTTTTGGTTTTATGTCTGATCATTGCTTCCGCATCAAAACTAACAAAGCTATCTTATTCTTCATGGGCAGGTGTCGCCTTGGATTTTCTGGTGCATTGAATCTTCCACCACACAAAGACAACGACCACAGGAGGGTGGTTATTGTTCCCGGTCAATAATGAATTACTAATTTATATCTAGCTCGACAAGTTTTACTTACTGATGCGGTTCTGGTTGCCAACTGGTTCGATTATATAATTCAAACCAATAAAGAGACAATGGGCAACGACAAGGCATCTGTGTTTCCTGAGAGGCATTCTGGTTTTCTTCTTCATCAGACTTGAAAGCAAAAATGAAATGGATCGTCTCATTTTTGGGCATTCTTTCGCTGTGCTCCTGGCACTGATCCTTTTCGCTGGGCTTGCGTTATATTTTCTCAATAAGAAGAAAGCTAGTGTGCATGGAAATGCAGAAGATGCTTATACTGGCGCATCTAGTTCGTTGACTGCGGCAACGGGAACTAATGCGGGCGGATCTAATTTGTCTTCGACAGAAACTAAAAATGGAGCATCTAGTTCGTCAACCACGCCAATTGAAAACCATTACGAGGTGTTCTTGAGCTTCAGAGGTAGAGATACTCGAAAAGGCTTCACAGATCACCTCTACAATGGGCTCATCAATGCTGGAATTGATGCTTTCAAAGATGAAAAAGAGCTCCGAGAAGGCAAGAAGATCGGCCCAGATCTTTTTGCAGCCATAAAGAACAGTAAGATCCTCATCCCCATTATCTCAGTGGATTATGGTACGAGTAGTTGGTGCCTGAATGAACTGGTTCAAATAATGGAGTGCAAGAATAATACAAGGCAAATAGTGTTGCCTATATTCTACAAAGTGGAACCATCTCATGTGGGACATCAAATCGGGAGTTTTGGAGACGCGTTTCATAAGCGTGAGAGGCGTTTGCAGGGTAGGCGTTTCGACCCAATGATATTGAAGAAATGGAAGCAAGCACTTAATGAAGTCAGTTCCTTGAAAGGATGGGACGCAGAGGGGTACAATTTTTCACCAAAACGTTCTCTGCTTTCTTTTTGTTTGTGTGGGTATTTACTATTTGTTCTTATTCCTACCTGCTTCTGTTTCTTTCTTTCTTGTTTAATAAAGAAAACGCAGTAAAATCTTGCAAGCAGTAAGATCCTGTGATATATGAGTTCCATAAGTTATCCTTTTTTAAGAATTACTTTAATGATATTGACCAATCTAATTTTAGATTTTATTGTAAGGATCCCATTCGCTTGAATAATATAAGATTTTTTAAATGAATTTTTACCCTTATATCCAAAAATTTTGTAACACTACGCCCTTCTTTTTTTCATGTTTATAGTATAAGCTACGTTAATCTTCAACCCGAACTTTTCTAATTTCAAATTTATTTGAGATTAATAGTACAACTTGTTGGTGTCCAATTTGAAGCTCATAACATCATACACCATGCATGCGATTGTCAATGCCATAATTCTTTATTTTCTCAAGTTACATTTGTTAAATCATTAAAGTCGATAATTAATTGCTTGTAAAATTATATTTACAAAAGAAATGTTTGATTGCTTATATATGATGATGGTAATATAAAAAGGGAAAGGAAAATAATCTTTATTATATGTTTGTAACTTTTCAATGCATTTTCCTATCTTCATCACATAATATCTATCTCATACGCCTGCATAAATTGAAGCAATGTTCTCATTTGGGGTAAAATTATTCTTCCACTTTCCAATATAATCAAAATCAGATTGACTAAAACATAGAACATAGATACTCAAATGGAAAATAATGTACATATGTTATCTGGAAACACGCCTGGAAACTTGCAAGCATGTACAATTGCGCAAATAAGGAGAAATCCCCTCAATTGTATTCAGGTTGTTCATAATATAGCATTCTAAGCAATTTCCAGATTGATATTACAGGACTTGAATTCCCCTTGCATCAAAGTTATGACCCGTTTATTGACTGATGGCTAGACTCCCATACAAGGCTGGCTTATTGGATTTTTGCTTATTCAACCGCTCTAGAAAGTTGTCAAAGTCACATCCACGTCATACTAATATCTTTAGCAGCAACAAGTTTAAAACATACTTTCAATCCATAATGTATACAACATTAAAGATTCACTAGCGATACGCTCAAGTTTCTTCCTGTTCAATATATTATGTTAGCCTAATGAAGGTATGAGGCACGCCATATGAATGCATCCACTCGCATTTCCCAGTTTAGTCTTAGCATATGAGATATTAGATGGAGGTGTGACAGAAACAATTCTTAAACTTTTTCGATTTATCGCTAGATTTATTTATTACTCTATTCTCAATAGATAAGCAATATAAAATTATGGTTCTGACACATTTGAGCTCTTGTCACATTTGATAGGCATGAAGGAGAATTGGTAAAATCAGTTGTTCGAGAAGTGTTGAGTGAGCTGAAAAAAAAGTTTGAGTTGGATATTCCTGAAAATTTGGTCGGAATTGATAGTCGTGTGGAGAAGGTTGTGAAATTCGTAGATAATAATTCTCATGCCACCCTATTTGTAGGCATCCACGGAATGGGAGGCATTGGTAAGACAACTATTGCTAAAACCATCTACAACAAGCTCTCAAATCAATTTGAGTATCGTAGCTTCATCGCTGATATTAGGGAATCATGCAAGCATGGCGTTAAGCACTTGCAGAATCAATTAATCTCTGATATATTGAAGCAAGAAAATCAAGTTAGTAATAAGGATGAAGGGATTAAGTTCCTCTCATCCAAGTTTAAAGGTAAGAAAGTGTTGATTCTCCTTGATGACGTGGATGATGATGATCACTTGAAGGCGTTAGCTGGAAATCATAAGTGGTTTTCTTCGGGAAGTGTGATCATTATTACCACTAGAGACGAGAGTATTCTTAACAAAGCTTATGTGGACTACAAACATGAACACGAGGAACTGGATATAGATACATCTTTGATTCTGTTTAGTAGACATGCGTTTAGAAAGGATGCTCCTCCGAGTGAATTTGAGGTCCTCACTCATGATGTTGTATCTGTCACTGGAGGGCTTCCATTATCTCTTGAGGTTTTGGGTTCATTTTTGAACAATAAAAAGCCAAATATATGGAGAGATACGATAAACAAGTTAATGGAAGTCCCTCCTCAGAAAGTGCAAGAAAAGTTAAGTATAAGTTATCGTGCATTAGACTATAAACAAAAACAAATATTTTTGGATATTGCTTGTTTTTTCATTGGTACTAACAGGAGAATCGCATCCTACATGTGGGACGCATGTGGCTTCTTTCCAAATGAGGGAATTGAAGTATTGAGATTGATGTCATTAATAAAAGTTGGAGATGACCATAAGCTCAGAATGCATGACCAATTGAGAGATTTCGGTAGGGATATCGTCCGCAAGGAAAACGAGAAGGAGCCTCAGTACCGTAGTAGGTTATGGGACTCTGAGGAGCCTCAGTTCATGACTGCATGTTTCTAAGGTACGGTTACAAATGAATTTACGGTGCAAAACGAACAGGAGTGCATCCCTTAGTGTGCCTATGCTACTGACTTGTGATAAAATTTGTCCAACGATTGTGTTTAACACATTTTATCTCACCCAATTATCTGCATTAGCTAATTAAGGTAATCGTATCAGTCGAGAAGCGCTGAATGCAACTTCTCCCGGTGTTTTGGTCATGAACAATAGGCCAGAAGAAAAACCATTGTGAATTATTTGGATCAATTGAGAAAATAGTAACTCCAATTTTCCTGACTATGAATCCATGTTCATTTGCTTTGAATCCGGGATATACCTAAAAGTCCAAGGCAAATAATGGATGAGCCCAAATAATACTTCTTACTATTTGTAGAGTTAGCAATGCCATATGTCATTTACCAGAATTTTTGAGTCAAGAAAATGATCAAGATGGCAGACATGAACGAGAATGTCTTTTGACATAATCGGCTGCACTGTGAAATGATCCCTTATATCCTGGATAAGCTCTTATTATTGCATTTACTTGCTGTAAAGAAAAACACGAGAAGCGTTTTCATAAGCTTCCTGAGGAAACTTTCTTTTATCCTATATGCCATTTGAAAACTATCTTGCATTCATTTTGATATGTGAACAGCACATAATGTTAAGGAAATGAATCATACTATATATCCCACAAAAGAAGCAACTTAAGCTGAATTCACTACCCAATTTGATCAAAGCTTCTGTGGTTGATGATGTTAGATGCCTATTAGTTGGATTGAAAGAGTTGAAAAAGAAAATTAATATTGAGTTCGACAAACAAAGATGTGTATATGTTGGGTATAATGAGTAGTTTGCTGATGTTAGTTGCTAGATTGATTACATTTTATTCACTGGCGCGATTTGGTCATTATTCCACCAGTTGTGATGTAAATGCTGAAATATCCAAAGGAGCTTTAGAAAGGCACTTCATAAAGGAAAAAAATTAATCAAAGGATCAAGAGCTCGATGTTTCTTGGACTTCTCCAAACTTTGACAATGCATCCTTGGAAAGGTAAAGGATGCTCGCCTATTTTTGAAATACGGAAAGTCTAGCCATTTAATATTGTGCCCAGTAATTTGGACGATTGTATTTCAATTTGGTATCATAATCAGCACCTGCATGAAGGTCTTTTGGAATCTTTATGCAAAGAGAGTTGTTTGTCGTTCAGTTTTGGATCTTCATGCTAAGGTGGAATCTATTTGATGTTTGGCTGCTAAACTTTGTTGGGTCGATAAAGAAATTGGAGGTTCTTACTTTGTGAAGCTGCTGTCGTAGTTGGCTTAGAATGGTTGTATCCGCTGCGGTTGGAAGTCTTGGAGTCGAAGTTTTGTGCGGTTGAGATCTTATTCCAGTAGATTTTGCTGTCAAAATGATAGAGGCCGTTCTTCATACCAAATTTGAAAAGGTTTCTGGTGTGAAGAACCAGGTCAAAGAGTCCAATGATGTGCATTTGAGATTGCGCTCTATTTGGGATATTGAAGTTCAATTGTAACAAAGGATCAGCTATCATGAACAAGCAATTTTGGAACCCAATTGGCCATTTATTTATCAAAAACAAATGCGCATTAATTTGTCGTGTCCCTTGTCAGTAATTGTAGCGGTCTTTATGTGCTCACTTGTTCATTATCCCAGTTGCACTCTGATTAGTTTAGCTTCACTTCCTGTTCTTAGACTTTTCTTGACCTGTCTTGATTCCATGAAATCCCATGTGTTCTTCCTCCTTTCTCCTTGAAACGTCATTTGTCGAAATTCTGGTACAGCTTGCATTATATCTAATTGGATACTGAGTGTACTTACAGTAGGAAGTATAAAAATCAGTTCACTCATTTGGCATTGGCTAAGAATGCGCACCATTTCACTCATTTTGCCTTCCAGTGATCGAGAGCCTTTGGTGACACTAACGCCTCGGATTATGCCTGGTCAGCCTAAAGAGATAAGGATAACAGAGGAAGGAGAATCTAAAAATGGACTCAAATTGTCATGACAAGGTACAGAAATTACATTGAAACAAAAGAAACAGGTAAGGTTCAATCATTCTGTGTTCCTAGTCTCTGCTTGTGTCATTATTTTCTGACTTCATTTTCCTAAATAAACAAGATGAAGAGATGGCCAGACAAAGAGAAGCCAACCAACTTGTCACGGAGATGCATCATAACAATGCCACCAATCAAAAGGTACTTTTAACCTATTTTCAAGTAACTGACGATGTATTTGAATGATTATAAATGCCATTTTCAATTGAGTATTGTTTGGTTCTTATTAGCCTAGTTGGGAAAGCAGTCGAGTCATTTCTCTACTAAGAGATACCAACAATGTTGTGGTCCATGCTAAGAAGGTAGAGAGTGCATTTCGCATATTTATCACTACAGTGGGATTAGAGGCACAGCTTTATGGTAGTAAATGAGTTATGTAAAGATTTGAAATTTGATTTCATAATATCCATTTCTTTCGTCCAGCAGCAAAAGGTAGACAATATGAAAAAGAAGCAAGAGGGTGGAGCATTTGAAGGACATTGGAAGTGTTGGATCAACAAGATCTCCAAGGAAGAGGAAAATTCACCAGAAGTAGCTGTATGAAGAGTTGGAAGTCTGATATATTTTAGTACTTTGTGTTGTTATGATAATCTTCAATTAAGATCAAGAGATGGATCTTGTTGTTTATATTTTTCTGCTAGTGTTTAAGATGTGGGAATGATACTGTTAAGACCACAAGCATTCTGCGCAACAGCCTTTTTGTGCCTGGGAGTGCGTTTGATATTTGAAAAGAAAGTGCAGTTGGCCTTACTTTTACCGAATCTGTTGGTGTTATAGACTAGGCTCTGTCCACAATAACAAGCCAAGCTTGTTAGAAGCTGGACATGAATATTCTTACCTGACAATTTCGACAAATTGTCATTCCAAAAAAACCGCAATTTTCTTCGCAAAAAGAAAGAATCTAACATTTGCATTCTAAAAATTCGATTTTTTTAATTGCAAACACCAGCAATTTCCAGAGACATCAATCCGAGGAAAACTAGAGATTTTAGTCCTCCAACTATTCAGCAGTTCCAGTCGGGGAACATGGCTCTCATCCAAGTTAAAGACCAAAGTGAAAATCCACATCATTCCTTCTTTAACTTTCCCAATCGTTTCTGCTTTCCAAGACCTCAATGTGATCTCCACAAGGCAGAATTCTCCGACTCGAGCAGCCTCACCTCCAATTTGGTCGAATTTGACGTCTTCACCTACACGGGCATAATTAGGTGGCGCGCCCTCCTCGACCCCAAGATCTGCATTGTCGCCTGCTAGACCTCAACCCATCAAACCATCTTCGTCCTTGAGGCTCAAAGCAGTTTGTGTGAGAAGTTCGAAGTGTGACTTGATGAAGAAGATGGAACGTTGATGTCGAGGAAGAGGTTTTGTTGAAGCCCAAACATTTTCTTTTTCCTCTTTTCTAACCAGAGAATAAAAGTAGATGGATAAAATAATGGACGCGCTGGCTCATCATTTAAAAATCCAACTCAGTATACAAGATTTCATGTCATTAAATAACTTCTGATTTGTTATTTTATCAAACGGGATGACCACATTTTTAAGATAAAAACAGAAAAAAGAAAAAAAAAAGAGAAAGACTCCCAATATGTATGTTACAAAGCCACGTGCATTAGATGTAACAATAAAATCATGTTATATATTACATAGTATATCTTCTACCAACATTCTTAGCTTATCAATTTTAGTAGAACACTGAGAATGGTACCGTCTTATTGGGCTTTAATTGTTTTAGACCTCTTTAAATCTCTTTTAAACCAAAGTTAGGTAAAATCATAGTATTACCAGCTAATTGAATCTGAATTACAAAATGGGTTTATCATCCATTTTCTCACCTCAAGTGATTAGCTATGCACTGTGCATTTTTCATAATATTCACGTGGTTTATCGTGACTGCATGTCCGGTCCCTAGTTGAGGTGGTGAATTATTATCGATTCAATGATTTGCTTATACAGTGATGTGTAAATTTGGGGATGCTCTTGGTTGGTTGGTCTTTGATGCGTCCCGCAATTTAAATAAGAAATAAAAGGCAAGAAGACTGTCTAGGAAGGTCAGAGATATGATTATATGTATATAGCCCAAGCTCACAAAAGCAAAGATGTAGGACCAGCAAAATAGTACGAGGTTACCATCATTCTCACATTTCTCCGTCTCCAAAAATACTCTGAATATTACTTTCTTGCTCCCATCACTTAGACACTTTTCATGGCTTAGTTCCTCATAATTATGTATCCACTATCATTCTGACATTTCTCCGTCTCAAAACAATTATGTTTTTCCATTAGCTGACCCGATTACAAAAATTGGAAAAAACACAAATGAGCACGAAATTGCCCGCTCTATCAGAGCACCTCCATTTCGTCAAAAACTGTCAATGGAATGAACATCTCTCGTGGAGCTTATTCACTAAGCGCAGCAAACTGAACCGGAGCTTCGCTACATCTTCTCTTCACTTGGTTGAGGATCGACGAGTTCGGATTGGAAGTTGGTCGTTCTGGAAAGAGCTTCTTACATCGTTAATTTAACCAGCCTTGTTTGAGTTCTCTACTGCTTCGTGGTGGATGCTGTGAATTCTAGTGTGTCTGAAGGAGGAACGGTCTTTGTCAGGATCGAGAATCGATTTTGAGGTTGCCTGAGTCGTATAGAGACAGCGAATGAGGATCGTTCGGATGCATCGAGGCGTTTGTCATCTTTTTGTTATTTCTGATGTAGTTGAATGATGTTGACTCGTGAATGTTCGGGAATGATTGGGATGGAAATGCTGGCTCGGTGATGATTTCATTTGAACAGAGTCCTTTGCGTTTGTTGTAGCGTTTGATTGCCGGTCCAATTTGCACATCTTGGTGCTGGCAGAGGCTTCTCTCCACGAGAGAGAGATAGTTGGCAATAAATTTAATGGTATCGTTGTAGATATTAGTCTGATCCTTCCATTTTTTGAACTGTCCTTCATTTGGCAATTTTATTGCCCAAGAGTTCGGATGCTAAACTTGAGCGACATTATAACTCCATTCTTCTTGATAAATAGAGGACTAGCATGGGTGTTGTTTATCCTATGTTGAAGTGATGGAATCCCTGCTGCTTTCCTTTCTTTTGCCACTCTAATCATTTCCCGAATCATCGAAGCAGGGCGCGCCCATCTGTGTTCATTATGGACAATGTGTCAGGTGATGACTTGGCAATACATTAGAGATTAGTGATGCTGGGATTCGATAACTCTGCAAATTCCTTTTTTTCTGTAGGATTTGGTGAAAAGCGTGGTGCGCAGTAGGTTATTTACGTTTGAGCTAGCAATCCGGTTGTTGGTCACAGAATGCAATGCAAGTGTATTTAGGTTTCACTAAGCAGTTTGATAGCGTAATGCGTTGTGTGGCTTTTGTCAACTGAGAAAGGAGCCAGAGTGAATGCTGAAGCAGATTCACCTAATTAAATAAGTTCCTTGTAAGAAGATGAAGAGGAGAATCGACTCACTGCCCTTTTACACCGAATGTTATTTATTATCCATGACTGACCTTGTCTGATGATTCGATTCTCAAGTGAAGAATGTTAATGATGGTTAAGATGATAGTCAGCCTTTCCATCTTTTATTGGATGTAGATTTTCTCCCTTCAGGAGTCCTTGGAAATTTGGTATTTGGGGGAAGGTGGAGTGGATACAGTTGCTTTTCATGTTTTCCTCTTTTCAGAGATCTCCTACTGATTGGAGCAGTTTTCCCCCACTTTTCTTGTCCTGGAAATTTTCTGGACAATGTAGAATCCAAATGCCACGAGACTGAACAATAACATATCAATTGATGTGCTGTATTCATTTGGAGAGTAGTTTACAGATCAATATATGCACTAATTCATACTCTGTATAGCATACGGATGTGTAGGTTCAAAGTTTTCTGCTCATTCGAGTGACAAGCTTTCTGACCTTTGCCCTAGATCCTGGTTCTCATGCAATTTAGCACATTGAGAACTTCGAGAAATCTATGCTAGAATGGTCGGCTGTTAGTCTATCTAAGATAAATGCATGATGCGGATACTGTAGTTTTGGTTTCAAAGTAGAATTCTGGAATCTCTGTGCTCGTGCTCATCCTGTTTTTTTTTCTGCATGATGAAAGGAGATTTAATCAATATGGTACACCATGGCACAGAAGAGAGAGAGAGAGAGAGAGAGAGAGAGAGAGAGAGAGAGACTTCTGAGTCTTGCTGGTTTATGTAGGCTAGTGTAGACATGAAATGGAACGAGATTCCCATCGCTGATGATTGCTGTCGGAAGAAGATTACTGAAGTAGCATTTGCGATGATTGGAGATAGATCATTGTGTTGTTCTAAAGCAGCTTGTCCGCCAGAGCAATAGATGGTGGAGTTTAATTGTTTCATGACACACAAATGAAGTGATTGCTTCCTATGCTGTTTGTGTAGGCAAAATTCCTCAGATGTGAGCTATGATATTGTATAGTGGGGCTTCGACTGTAATTCTAGGCTTTAAAAACTAAATATTCTTCCTCTGATTCTCTCGGTGCCTCCCTCCAACTTAACCCACGGACTTGATTAATACACGTGGAAGAAGCATATGCTCATACCGCATGAAATAGGAAATGTTGGACTAGAATCGTAAAAACAATTTGTTATGTGTTGACTCTTGGATAACACGTGGAATGTTAAAACAAATTTCAATGGACTATAATTGACTTGTGAGATTAGGTATTGCTTGGATCCTGAAGAACCCCATCAAAGGTTGGAATGGATGGAAAAGTTGGTCAATTGACCTGGGTAAATACCTTCTTCATGAAGGTTCTTACTTAAGGACATCGATGTCTGTCTTCAGCAGTGGTGCAATATGTAGTTCTTCCGGCAGTATGGAATCATTTAGTCAACTTGAAGGTATTTGTTTTGTTGGAAGAGTCTTCTGACTGGAAAAGTCTCATGAGTCAGCACAGTCGTATGTCTGAGGCTTGAGTCATTAGCAGTTTTTGAAGAAAGCTTCAAGCGGAATTTCAGGAGGAGGTAGTATATCCTTGATGGACAACTTTTGCTCTTACAATCTTTCGCCATATTCCGTTATCTTACTTAGTTTAAGAGCAATTGAATTGTGTGAATTTGTGGGCTTTCACCCAAGATTGGCTCATGCATGGTCGCGTCCGATATAGTTTGTTCCAGACTTCAAGGAATCAAGTGATCGGGACGCACAATTCCTTATTATCCACAGCGGGATGCCCTGGAGTTCCTCAATGCTTCACTTATGTTATTAAGTGGGAATTTTTTAGATCTACTTGTTACGATGATTCCTTCTGTTGGAGCACTGCTGATTGGAGCCGTTTGACCTGGATCGGATGGTCTTGTTGCCGATATCAAATGGTCTTGAGCCTTGTAGAAGAAATCAATGTTGCACTGTCTCCTTGCTTGACTGGCCAAGTAAAATTCTTAGGAGGTTATGGAATGTTGATAAGTTTGCTCATCTCTGCAGGTGCTTCATCACTAGCTTCTAGGTAGTTGGTAGTCTCAGCAGAGTCAAACTAAAATGGATGAAGTAGCTATTGAACAACCAGGGTTTCATCAGTTTGATGCAGGAAACCTTCAGCATGTCTTATATAAAGAAGTCAGACAGACAATGAGCTGGCAGTCCTTTAGCAGATGAATGGGGAACGGATGCCTGTCGAAAAAGCTGAAGAAGATGCTAATGCTACCGAGTTGCTAGAGAGAGGGTACTTGCAGTACGGGTAATGTCTCGGCTCATTCTTGAGCAATATTAGTTCCAGCTTAATTCCTGTCAACTTTCAGTTGATATCAAAGTTGCTGCTGCTGCAAATGTCCTCATTACCGGTGAAGGTGCCGCATTAGAACCCCCTGTTGCAATAAGATCTTTTATTGCCATCACTGTCATAATGATGTGAAGTTGATTCCTTGTGCCCCTCATGGACTTAAGAATGCTTGATAACTTCCTTTGTCATGACACGAAGAAGGCACTAGATGTCTAGGAGATACTTTAGTGTAAGCTTAGTTGATAGATTGCAATTAAATTTTTACTTGCTGTACATTAGAGAATGATCATTAACCAAATGTAGGCACCGCTTCAGCTGCCTGTAGATTTTGGGCGCTGGTGTCATGAGTTATCTTGAGATGAGATTGCATTCTGACCTGATGTTAACTTTGAAGTACGTGCGCTTATATTATGACATGTGTGGTCTTCAATTTTTACGTGACAAATATAGCAAGAAGTTGCCATCGATATTCTCTAGAAGTTAATTTACTAGTTAATTGCATCAGACTTTCTTTGTATCATAAATGGAAGTCGCCATATGGATTGAGTTTGGATGAGTAGTCTATAGTTTGGTGAATATGACGAATATGATTCTTTAATCTTCTACCATGGACATGCCTTTCATAACCTGACATGCTGTTCTCTTATGCCCAGAATAATATCAATGTAAACAAAAAGCAGGGACAGACTTACCTCGCCAAGAAGTTCAACAGGTGGATGCTATCGAATTTCTAGCATGTTTATAGAATGACCCTAGCAAATATTTTAAAACCTTGAGCATAAAAAGCTGTATAATGAGCAAACATGTGAAAAAGGAAGTTTCTTATTTGCATTATACAGATAGTCAAAAGTGTCAGGTGTCATATCCTGCACTGGAAGACAGTATGATCACATGGACCCGACATCTTACTTTATTTTTTCTGCAGACGTCCAAGCAGTGTCATTGCAATGGATGTGGCATTTGCAGGTATGGCTACCGTTAGCAGCAATACTCAACAGTGTCAAAGCGATTATCCATGTGAATAATGGGAGTTCTTTGCTGCCTCAATTCACAACATTCGCTATTCAATCTCTGGGTGGCGAGTGTTAGTATTTTTGAGAAAACAAGGAAGAATTCACAAACACTTGCCACAGGATGATCGGTCAGTGTAGATGAAAAATTTCATGTTTCAGGATGTTAGATGAAATTTCTAGATGCATCTCATTGCAGTCAATCATCTGTTAGGAATTTATATATCTATTTATACAGAAGTCCCCCTTCTGGATGATTGTCTTATCATTTCTCTGTCATTGATGTTGCACGTTTGATTCATCCTCACTGTATTTTCTTTCTCGGAATGGGGCGAGAGAATTTCTTCCACTGTTACAAGCGCGGTAAGCTTCAGTTATCCTGTGCTTGCGCCAGCTTAAGGAGTGATGGAAAGAACTGAAGTTAATCTGCTTCACTCGTCATGCTGTACAGGTTGCTGCTACTCAGTTTTTTTCTGTAAAACAGCCATCCTTGCGTGAAGGAGCAACGCATCATGACTGTCCTGTTTGCTTTAAGGTAAATCTCTGTAATTTGATGGTTATTACGTGCGCATTGAAATGAGAGTATAAATTAAACCAGCGGAAATGGTGATGTGCAGTTTCTATTTGATTCGAGAAATGAGGTGACAGTCTTGCCTTGCAAACACAAATTCGTAAGAGAACTTCACCAGTCAGAGTTGTTTGCTGTTTAACAACGAATAATTTGAGAGCATTCCTCGGAAAGTATTTTTGGTTTTTTTTTTCTGTGTGTGTTTAGAAAGAAAGACCCAATGGCAAAAATACAATGAAACTGCTGAGGGTATCAAAAGTTCCTTCTAAGATCTAGTACCTTAACTTTTGGTTTCCACCATGACTCAAAGCTCATTTAGCCAACCAATTGCATGAAGGGCCTACAAATTATTATTACTTATTATTGTTTCCATTGTAATTATATTATTACCATGAAATGGTGTACTCTTTTAGTGATGGGTCATATTTTCCTCCGTTCTTGATTTCTTCTAATCATATCTCTGATTAGTGGACTAAGTATAAGTGATGCCTATGTTTGCAACTCACCATGTATAAGAGTGGTTGGAGGAAAAAAAATTAAAAGTTTTAGACCTATTAAATCCCTTTTCATCACATATAGCTAACAACTCATGTTATTACCAGGTCATTGAATCTGAATTACAGAATGGGTTCATCATCCATTTTCTCACCTCTAGTGCTTAGCATACACTAAGCATTATTCCATGACATCCGCGTGGTTTTTTATAATAGCATGTCCGATCTTTGATTGAGGTGGTTAATTGCCTGTTGATTCGGCGATCTACTTAGTTCAGTTATGAAGCTGACTCACTTACAATGTTTTAATATTAATCGAATCGAGTAAAGTAAGGTGATTGTTCGAAATCTTGCGATAAGACTGGGAAGCGAAAACTGAAAATTGAGGCATGATCCCAATAGCTACGGACGCGTCAAGCTGTCCATACCGTAAATTTGGCGAACAACTCCACTAGAAGATGAGTTCATGTACTTGATTAATGGATCGGATGCTTTTGGTTGCTCTTTGATGCGTCCAACAATTGAATAAGAAATATAAGGCAAACGACTGTCTAGGAAGGACGGATATTATATAAGGCCAAACTGTTTTTTTTTTTTTGGGTCACGCATAAATACCATTTCATTCATTTAAAAGCAGTACCAAATGAGCGAAGTCAATGAGAGTCAATACATAATAAATCCCAAAGAGGTTGAGGTGGCACAGACACCCCTTTTCGGCCGGTATTCGTGATTCAGTCTGCGACTTGGTTAGCTTCTCATGGACAATGGGCCAGAGAGAGAGACGCCTTCTAATTGGGCTAGCAGTGCAGTGCATTGCATTCCTCAAAGGGACGTCTCAAAGCCCATGGGGGCTCAAACTCGGTTCAGCAGTGAATCTAATACTAGATTCATTGTTGTCTGACAGGACACTCACGTGCGCCACAGATTCATCCTTCAGCTCAGACGCCTCCCGCAGCCAGACAGCGCAACGCTTCCTTCACCGCTGGGGCTTCGATTTCGAGTGGAGAAGCAGCCCCAGCGGTCGCCCGCTTTGCAAACCCGGCCGTGAGCGCTCCCCTGTGACCCCGACACACTCCAGCCCCCGATCCCTCTGCTTTGCCTTCGAGCCAAGACCCGTCCACGGTGAATTTCCACATCCCTCTTGCTGGTGGCGACCACCGTTCTGCTGCTGTGGTCTTCTCCGACCAGCGACTCGGATCGAGGGTGCTCCGCCCGTGATAGTTGCTGCTTAGAAGGAGAGCGTCGTCTACAATTGGTCCCGGGTCGGGTCTTTGTTTGTTGGAAAACCAGGGGCGTTCCTCGCCTTCCAGATTAGCCACAGGATTCCTGCGAGCCACTCTTGAGAAGACGGATCAGCCCCGACGGTGAGCGCTTCGTCAACCCACTTGTCCATTCTTGTTAAGTTTAGCGGAGATGCGTCCACATTTAGCCTCGGATCTGACCAAAATCCTTGGTCCAGTCTCACAAGTCGAAGATATGCTCCTTGGTTTCTGGAGTTTTCCGGCAAATTTTCCTTCGTGGGTAGAGCATTTTGGCACACACACCACAAAAAAAAATCGGATTTTGGGCTCGGCATGTAGTTTCCCTATCTTAGTCCATAGGGAATGAGGCGGCTGGTATGATGATGATGCTTGTTCTGTGTTTGGCATGGGTAGTGATGCGCATAGTCTGGTGTACTCATGTCTAACCGTATACTTTCCTTTTGTGTTTCCAGTACATATCTGGTTATCCCTTTCTGAGTTTGGCTTGATCCGTATGGCAAGAATTTCTTTCACGCTGTCCTCTTCGAAGAGCTCATGCAACTGGTTTTTGTTCCATGTTTTTGTCCTTTGATCAATCAGTTCGACGACTCTTTGGGGCTCTTCTCGATTGGCTGGACCCCCAATCACTCCCTGTTCCATCCATTTGTCCTCTCTAATATCGATGCTTTCTCCATTCCTGACCAGCCCTTTGACTTCTGAACTTATCGCATCCCTTCCCGTTAAGCAAGTTTTACCACCCCCAAGATGGGCGGGAGCCCTTATTTGCTTTCCATATGCTGCCATTTGGGAAGTAAATTCCTTTTAGAAGCTGGTTCCACAAGGCAGTTGGAGATTGTGCAAGTTACTATAAGGCCAAACTCACAAAAGCAAATACGTAGGACGAGCAAAACAGTACTAGTTACTATTTAAAATGATTCTGTAAGAGTAGCTTTCTCAAAGAAAGCAATACGTCACAATACAATATGGTTCAGACCTAAAAACTAGTGCATGAGCCAAAACTGAAGCAAGTTATGTGTGTTGTTGCATCCGAGGAGCTTCCAATTTGAAAACTTATCTAAAAACCAAAAAGATTTAGAAAATTTCGGACAACTATCAATGCAAAGGGTGTTTTTTTAACTTAAAATGCCCATCACTAAAAATGTTTATAACAACTTAATGTCTGCATAATGTCGGTAATGTGATACTTTTGGTTGCTCTTTGATGTTTTCAAGAATAAAGTAAAAGCAAAAGAGAAAAGGCTTTTTGATTTCTTTATGAGACTTGAATGAGAAATTAAGGACAGAGCCCAAAATTTTATATATATTACTTATGATCCTTGATCTTGGTTAGTAACAAAATGTTTTAGCATGAGTGATCGTTGATAATACAACATTTCAGTAGTTAAATGGAGTTAATCCATTTGATACTTCAATATTTAACAGGCTCAAAGTGAAAGGGCAAAATTCCAAAGTGGGATCAAAAGCTTATATATATTCACCAAAATACCTTTTCTGATGAAAAATAATTAACAAAAGAAAAGGAACAGTGCAAAGCATTGGACTGGGATCGTTTTGTTCGGCTTTGGAGAAATGTTTTTGGGGAAATGCAAATGCTTTTGGCTAAAGGCGTTTTCCAAAATGCAAGTAGTGTTTGGTAAATTGTAATGTCAAAGTGCATGGGGAAATGACTTTGGCTTAAATGGTGTTTGGCAAAATCACTTTGAAAAGCATTTTTGCTTTTTTTTTTTATAAGAAGAAAAACACAAAACCAGCAAGACTCAGTGGCCGGCGAGGCTAAATTGGCTGCTCGTAAGCCAGATCTGCCGTCGGTAGCCTCACCTAAGGTTGCCCGACCTCAGGCGGCCATCGCCTAGGGTCGCGCGACCCAAGGCATCTTAGGCAAGGTTGCCGGCACCATATCTAGCTCGCCAGAGTCTCGTCGGACTTTTGCTGGCCGCTCGTGGTGACCTAAAACTAGCCGGTGATGTCGCGTTAAGTCGGGACATTTTCGGAATTATGAAAGTCTAGCGAGTATAATGTTGGAAGAAAAAAAGTCTTTCTGCATTCCAGAAATGCTACTTTCTAGAGGACCTTCGGACCTGCCTTGGGCTAAAGACCTTTAGAGACCTTTGGAAATGCAACTGCATTTCCCTAGAATTGAGCGAAAAACGAACCAAATGCTATTTTCATTTGCCTAAGAGACTTTAGTGTCCCAAAGCCCATTTGGAGTGCTGAATCAAACGGGGCCTAAGCGTGCCCTCATCATCGCCCTGACGCTTTGTATGTATTTGTCTAGTTTGACCACTTGTCTGAAAATATGCGATCGCCAACTGATATCTTTTTTCTTATTTGGCAAATGAGACCCGCTTTGCAACTTGAAGCTCTGTCTGTCTTTCTCTCTCTCCCCATTTTTCATCTCAACACTTGTGTATTGAAAATTTAACAGCACTTGTCTATTACCTTTGGTTTTCTTTCTTTCCCTTGCTTCTGCATTGTTATTCCTCATATATTGTCTTCTTCTTGGGCAGGCATCTCGTGTTTCCTGAGAGGCATTCTAGTTTTCTTCTCCGTCAGACTTAAAAGCAAAAATCAAGGACAGAGTCAGAGCAAAGACAAAATGCATCATCCCATTTTTGGGCATTCTTTCGCCGAGCTCGTGGCACCGATCCTTCTCCTTGGGCTCGCGATCTATTTTCTCAATAAGAAGAAGGCTAGTGTGCATAAAAATGCAGAAAATGCTAATATTGGCGCATCTGGTTCGTTGACTGCGCCGACGGGAACTAATTCCGGTGGATCTAGTTCGTCTCCAACAGAAATTAATAATGGTGCATCTAGTTCGTCGACCGTGCCGACTGGAAACCGCTACGAGGTGTTCTTGAACTTTAGAGGCCCAGATACTCGAAAAGGCTTCACCGATCACCTCTACAATGGGCTCGTTGATGCCGGAATTCGTGCTTTCAGAGACGATGAAGAGCTTCGCCAAGGCGAGGAGATCGGCCCAGATCTTTTGGCAGCCATCAAGAACAGTAAAATCCTAATCCCCATTCTCTCTGAGAATTATGGTTCGAGCAAATGGTGCCTGGATGAACTGGTTCAAATAATGGAGTGCAAGAATGATACCACGGGGACTATAGTGTTGCCTATATTCTACAAAGTAGAACCAGCTGATGTGCGATATCAAAAAGGTAGTTTCGGAGATGCATTTCGTACACGTGAGAAGTATTCCAACCCATCGACTTTGGAGAAATGGAAGCAAGCACTCATTAAAGTCTGTTCCTTGAAAGCATGGGAAGCCAAAGGGTACTTTAAATTTTTACCAAGAGATTCTCTACTAACTTTCAATTTTTTTTGGCGTTTACTGGTTGTTCTGATTCCTACCCACTTCATTTTCTTTCTTTTAATTTTGTTTAATGAAGAAAAAGCAGTTAGATCTAGCTAGCGGTAAGATCCTGCAATGCATGAGTTCTATAAGTTATTCTTCTCTTTAAAATTACCTTTAATGATATTGACCAATCCGATTATAGATTTTACTGTTGAGATGCCATTCACTTGAATAATATAATATTTTTTAAAATTAATTTTTATACTCTTGTATCTTGTAACATTGTGCCACTTTTTTTTCATATTTATAGTATAAGCTGCATTAATCTTCATCACGAACTTTTTTAATTACATATTTATTTGATATTATTATTACAACTTATCAGTGGTTCCACATGCCGTACATGTTGATTGTCAAAGCCATAATTCTTTATCTTCTCAGGTTTCATTTATCAAATCATTAATGTCTTGATTAGTTGCCATTGGAATTAGTTTTACAAAAGTTACTAGACATGTGATAATTCTTTATTATATGTTTGTTTAAATGATTTTCAATGCATTTTCCTATCTTCAACAATAAATTCTATCTCACACACCTGCATAAATTGAAGCGGTGTTCTTCTTTTGGTGAAAAATCATTCCTCGACTTCCCAATCAAATAAATATTAGATCAATTATAGTCGTAGAATCTAGATGCTCAAAAAGAAAATACAGTACAACCTGTTATCATCCCATGGCGCAGTGAAAATTGATAAGAACACCAATCTAGAATGATACTAAATCCATAACAAGAGTAGAAACTTGCAAGCGTGTAGAATTGCATAAATAAAGAAAAATTCCCTCAATTGTATTCAGGTAGTTCATAATATAGCACTCTGAATGACTTTCAGGACTTGAATTCCTCTTGCATCAAAAGATATGACCTGTTTATTAATTGATGGCTACTTGCAAGCGTGTAGAATTGCATAAATAAAGAAAAATTCCCTCAATTGTATTCAGGTAGTTCATAATATAGCACTCTGAATGACTTTCAGGACTTGAATTCCTCTTGCGTCAAAAGATATGACCTGTTTATTAATTGATGGCTGAACTCTCATATCGGGCTAACTTATTGGATATTTACCGATTCAAACGCTATAGAAAGTTTTCAATGTCACGTCCACATCAACCCTAATATCTTTAACAAACAAGTAGTTTAAAATTTAATTCAAATCCATAATTTGTGTAATATTCAAGATTCATTAGCGATACCCTCAAGTTTCTTCTGGCTCAATAAATTATGTCAGAGCAATAATGGAATGGGGCATTACATGTGAAGCAACCACCACCATTTCCTGCTTTAATCTTAGCATATAAGATGATATATGGAAGTGTGGCAAAATCAAATCTTTAAGATTTCTGATTTATCCTCTGATTTGTTTATTATTGTGTTATCATTTGTTAAACAATATAAAATCGCTATTGCCCTATGTTTGAACTCTTGTCATGTTTGACAGGTATGAAGGAGAATTGGTAAAATCGGTTGTCCAACAAGTGTTATTCGAGCTGAAGAAGAAGTTTGAGTTGGTTATTCCTGAGAATTTGATCGGAATTGATAGTCATGTGAAGAAGATTATGGAATTTGTAGATAATAATTCTCGTGCCACCCTATTTGTTGGCATTTACGGAATGGGAGGCATTGGTAAGACTACTCTTGCGAAAACCATCTACAACAAGCTCTCCAATCAATTTGAACACCGTAGCTTCATTGCTGATATCAGGGAATCATGGAAGCGTAATGGCATTCATTACTTACAGAATCAGTTAATCCATGGCATATTGAATCAAGAAAATCAAGTTCGTAATGAAGATGAAGGGATTAAGTTCCTCTCATCCATGCTTAAAGGTAAGAAGGCCCTCGTTCTTCTTGATGATGTGGATGATAATCATCACTTGAAGGCTTTGGCTGGAAATCAGAGTTGGTTTTCTTCGGGAAGTATGATCTTCATTACCACCCGAAACAAGAGTATTCTTGACAACACTGGGGTAGACTACCAGTATGAACATGAGGAAATGGATAGGGATAACTCTTTGATTCTATTTAGTAGACATGCTTTTCGAAGGGACTCTCCTCCAAGTGAATTTGAGGACCTCACTCATGATGTTGTATCCACCACTGGAGGGCTTCCCTTATCTCTTGAGGTCTTAGGTTCATTTTTGTGTGGAAAAGAGCCAAAACTATGGAGAGGCACGACAAAGAAGTTAAGAAAAGTCCCTCATGAGAAAGTGCAAGAAAAGTTAAGGATAAGTTACGAAGCATTAACGCATGAACAAAAACAAATTTTTTTGGATATCGCCTGTTTTTTCATTGGCACTGACAAGAGCATCGCATCCTACATGTGGGATGCATGTGACTTTTTCCCGGAGGAGGGAATTGAAGTATTGAGATTTCTATCATTAATAAAAGTTGGAGATAATGATGAGCTCATAATGCATGACCAATTGAGAGATCTTGGTAGGGAAATCGTCCGCGAGGAAAACAAGACGGAGCCTGGGAACCGTAGTAGGCTATGGGACTCCAAGGAAGTCTTGGAAGTGCTAAAGGGAAATGAGGTAATCATTTCTCTTCTTTTGCTCCCTTAGTTCATGTTCTACTGTCAAAGTGACGTTGGTCCTCTACTTCGTGCTTGCTCTAGTGAGTAGAGAACCTTCTAATATTATTGTCCTCGTGTCGCTTCATTGACATGATTAAAAAGCAGGAGGTTGCTCTCTCTTAGCAAGTACTGCAGCTTTTCTGAGATTTTTCTTACACAAGTGTACATCACGAAGTTTTTTTCAAAAATGAGGTACTTTCAAATTTATTATATACTTGATAGGGATATTCTACATTGAAAAAATCTGAATTTATATAATTGATTTGGTTACGTGCTTGACACGTGCAACAAATAACTTGACTATGCTACTGTGTACAATAACTACTTAGGATATATAAATCATAGAATTCTAACCTCCAGGTGTTAGAATTGATACAATTGGAGTAACTGTGCCCCCATTTTTCATGAAATTTCAATCATTATACCCTAATTGAGAATGGAAGGGTGTTTTATTTTATGTTATATTAGGTTAGGAATTACCTTTTACCAAATTCACGTGATAGAACAGGACAATATATAGACATACATAACGTTCAGCATACTTCATGCAATGACCATTTAAAAGAGAAATGTCTTATTTTTTCCACATAAAAAGTCCCAGAGATAAATACTCTAAAATTCTATTTTGTATATAATTAAGTATGTGATTGTATTCTATTACTTTGAATACGTCATTCAGTTTGATTCAAAGTAAGTTGCTCAAAAGACTAGCACTTGTTTGTGTTTTCAACGTGCAACCTATTTATAATCTCAAGTACTAGCAATGTCAAAACTAATGTCTATTTATTATGTCTTTTGTATTACATCATAAATAAGCTAAAATAACCACAAGAAAAATTAATACGCTGTAAATTTTATATCTAAATAAATTGTTGTGACTAACTTTTATAACTAAAAAGGTGCATTATTTGACGTAATTATTTCAGTATTTTTGTTGGGTTCATTACGTTTAAATCAAAGTAGTTTTGATAAAACTGATACAAGATCTTCTTTTAAGTTTATTCCTACGTTTAATCAAAATATATAAATTTATCTTCATGTGTTATCTAAAGGTACAATCAACTTTGATAAAAAAAAACAAAAAGCATGTGAAGTGCGAAGCATGGACATGAGCACTAGGACGACTTACAAATAAACAAAAAATGAAAGACATTTAAAGCATAATTGAAACACATTCATAACACACTCCTTGGATATTAGTGAGTATACATCCAAATAAAAAAGGGCACAAGCTTTAGAACCAGGAACAAAAATAATACAACCTTAAAAAATCCTAAAAAGAAGCCTAATCTTTTGCACGTAGGATGAAAATAACATAACTTTTCAAGCATCCCAGAGAAAAACTCAACCTTTCATTTGTAGGACAAAAACATTGACGCACATTACAAATTATTTCTATTCTCACTGTAAGTCGCCAAGCGTCATCCTACATTGCTCATGGTACTGACATGCACAATGAACCCCTTTAATCATGACCACAAAAGACATTTACAAAATGCTAAAAATTTGGTAACAAAGAGTATAAATAAAAAGAACGACGTCGGTTTTGTGTTAGCACAATGAGCCATGTAGGGTGTCTATGGTGATTTGATGATGATTTTGGACAGAACTTGTAACGGTTTCCCTTTTTTTCCACGATAAAAGGTTGAGTCTTGTTTTGGTATGTTCACAAAGTTGTGTATTTTTGTCCTATATGTAAAAGGTTAGGCCTTTTTTTTTTTTTTGAAAAGTTTGAAAGATTGTATTACTTTTGCCCCAAATACAAACGGTCGGGCTTGTTTATGAGATTTCGCCATGAGTATACTCAAACTCTGTCGATAGATTATTGAAGATTAAAAAATTACACACTTGAAGACAAAGAATTTTGTTGACAGATAGGATTTCTTAATATTTTAAGAGAGAAGTTTATCAGGGAAATGACGAATCCGAGCATGATTACTTCTCTTGGAAGTTGCTTCCTTTTGTTATAACTACTCTTCTCTTGAATTCCTATCAGGTGTTGAGATCTAATTCATTCTCCACTAATTATGTCATTCTCCCCTGAGTATCCATGAAATCTTGTAAAACATTGTGAATTACAATTAAACATTTTTCTCGTTCGGAGAAACTGACCCGGATTTAGAAATCCATGAAATTTCTGCATTACTTGTAAACTTCTCATGCATGAGTGATTTTTCTTGGTGAAAGCTTGCTGCACATTTGGATTAGAAATATTTCAAATCTATTCTGATGAAGCAATTATTCGTTCCATTGATTCAAAAATGGATTAGAAATAGTTGTTCTCTCAAATCAGGAATAACTATTCCTAGGGGCCCAAGGAACTAATAGCTATTCCATGAAACCTAGAATAGCTTCAAAATTCATAATTAAAAAATGACTTTGCATTTTTATTCATGAATTATTTTAAATTAAAGCAAAGTTAGTAAATAAGGATTGTTTATTATACAAGAAAATTTCAATTAATAATATATGCTAACAATAATAGAGAGCATAAATATAATTATTATTTCAAGTTACTATCAATAAAAGAAAAATCATATCGGAAAATATTAATATAACTACTATCACAAGTTTAGTTACTCATAATGAGTTACGAATCCAATGGCAAAAACAAAAACAATTATATTTTATTTTAATTGTAAGTAGCAAAGTTAGGTAATATACACGAAAATACATAAGAAAAAGGGAAAAGAAAAGGACTTTATAAGGTTAAATTTTCTTTATTTTAAGAGAAGTTTGTTTTTCCCAATTGTCACAATTATTACAATAACCATGTCTCTACGTGATTATAGTTCATTTGGATATCTAATATGAAAATTGTGGAGATAGAAAATATATTTCTATTAAAATTGATCAAATCAACTTTTGATTTTGCACAGTGTAATTTACTTAAATCACATGTATTGCTAACTAGTATAGTAATGAAGCTACATTACAGGAAAGAAGAGGGTTAACAAGTTGTTAAGTTTTACATTTGACCCATTAGATCAAAGTGTAAAAGTACGTTTATAACATTTATAAGAAACTATAAACTATTGTTCAGAACAAAATAAAACACGAAAAAAGAGAACATCATAATTTTTTTTAAGATCCAAGTACTTTTTCAAAATCAAAGCTGACATCCCTCACTTTGTTAGCCTTTATCAATACAGTTTATTGGCTAAGGAAGCAATCATATGTTCACTTTGCTAGTCTCTAAAAGACATCGATCCATGTTAATAGCGATATGAACAATGATATTAGATTATTTTAATTGGATATAAGTAGTGTTAATGAACATTGATTCTTACTTATAGGGAATAGAAAAGATTGAGGCCATTTATATTTTATTTTAAGCCTGAAGAGCATAGTAGATTGTGGATCTATGAGGAAGCCCTAGATGTGCTTGACAACAACATGGTAAGAGTTTTCTCTACTTGTCGTAGTTAGTGAATGTGGGTCCATCTTCCATTTCTTGTTTGAGATAAAAATAATTGTCAGTTTTGAGTCCCCAAAACTTGTTGCTTTACTAGCAAAAGAGCTCTTTTGATTAATTGCTGTATTTGCTTGATTCTAAAACATAATTGAGGAACAACTTCTTAGTTATGGAAGATTGATATATATCTTTACCTGGTAGCATTGTGATGGGGATACTTCGCTTTTGGTAACTTCAATGCAACAACAAACCTACAAAAGCAAAATGTTAGACAGAGTACTTCTAGAGAAAACCTGACATTTATAAATAGTTGCGGCTGTGCTTTTCCCACATACTTGTTTGATGCAAGTGTCTGATGTTTGGATTTGTCTTTTAGTTTCTTGTGAGGTCTTTTTTTTTTCTTTTACTAAGCATTGACTGCTTATGAGTTGTTTGGTATGATAAATGAGACCTCCATTCATTTGTGACGATTTAGCTATCTTGGTTCCTGTATTATTCAAGTTGGGTTAAGCGTATCCCTTAAGTATTATTGGTTGTGCAATTTAGTCCCCCATCTATTTTTGTTTTTGCTCAATATAGTCCCCTACCTTTCACTTTTTTGTGCATTCAAGTCCTTTGTGGTCAATTGTTAGTTGACACCGTCAATTTGTTGACGTGGCATTTGTATTTATTTATGATATACGAGCAACCATGTAATATAACCCTTTAAACATATATTATTTTTGTTGTCTAGACTTTTCATAATTGGGGATAGTCTCTTTCTATGAATCTGCTAATACATTTTCTTTTGTGACGATGTATGATTTTTCTATTAATTTCCGATAATAAGTATTTGTTAAATATAGGCTATCATGTTATAATAATTATTTGTCTATTGTTCAACTCTTAGTGAGCATCTTATTTTGCAAAGATTTAGTTAACATTTATATCATCATTTTATTTTTGTGAAATGAAAACTAGTTTAGGGTAAATGTGACACGAGTCTACCAATTTATGGTTTTTTGTGACGTGAAAATTAGTGTGGTGTAAATGTGGAAAAAGTCTACTAGTTTGGGATTTTTGATATTATTAACCAAAGTAAATATGGTCTTGAATTTTGTGTGATGATAAATTTTCATTATTAGCATGAAAGTTAAAAGGTGATCCATTAAAAGCAATTATAACTAATGGAAGATTTGTACAAGCATCAAACAAGCATGTGCAAATGTCGTAAGTATCGCTAGTTAAGAAAAACTAAATAGTCACATTAGGATGCAAAACATATTGAAATAACAAGACTATTGAAAAAAAATGCTACTGATGCTTTTCGGTGAGCATATTATCGTACGAAGGAAAATATAATCAACTGAATAGAACATTGCTTAGAAGTGAAAAAAAAATGTATCTATGAAGTTGTTGACAAAAATACAATAAATATACAAGAAACTTTTAACGTAAAAACAAGTGGCGTCTCATATGAAAGAATAAAAGTTTGAAGGAAAAGTTGAAACCACCAAATAGATCCGTAATATTGACTCTTATGATTTGCGCTCAACGTGCAATTCATCATCTAAAACAAAAAACGAATTTGAGTTCCTGAAATATTAGGTTATGACAAAAGATAAATGCAGAAGACTCAAGTTCTTTATGAATACAATTTTGTCAATCTTCATGTCCAATCTGTTCATACGGAAGGTCTCATTAATATATGGAAAAATTGATCAAAATTTAGATGACTACTACTTCACGGTAACAAAATCAATACGACAACGAAAAGATAGCATCAAACATCTATAGTAATAAAAAGAAAGTAAGAATCATCTATAGAACATTCGATATTATCAATTTTCCTTCCACGTACAATGCAAAACCCTCAGCGAAGAAACACATGATAAGAAAGGAACGTAAAACACATGCGTACCTTTTGCGATGACATTCTCGTTTTCATTTTGATATTTAGAATTGCAAATGTAGTATACCAGAAAGAGTGGGGGGATTCTACAATTTGGATTCCTTAATTTTGATACATGTTTTGATGGCAAGTTTGATGGATGTATTTGAACTGTTAGAGTCGCATTGGTTCACATACACATGATAGGAGTATATGTAGTGTTATTTCACATATAAATGGCATGAATTTTGATAGATATATTTGAATTAGTGTATGCATGAAGAGAGGCCTTCTATTGTAGTCACAAATGGATACAAATTTTGGAAATTCAGAGGGTGCAAATTGCGAAGGGCATATTTGGAAGAGGAAAACTTCGGGAACAACCGCTTGAGCTTCTCATCTTTACATAGATTAGATAAAAATATGCAACCACAACCCGTCATTTCACAAAATTTTAAAGGGAGAAGCCTACGCCATGATAGTATGACAACAAATTGAAATCAATGCATTTCATCTTATATCAGTTGGTTCCATCTCATCATTCAATACTGAAGGTGCACAATGTTTCCAAGTTGCAGGGCACTAGAAAGATCGAGGCCCTTTCTCTTGGCGAATGGAGTACGGAAGAAAGATACACAGCTGAACAATTTAAAGAAATGACCAACTTGAGGTTCCTTCAAGCAGATGGTGCGAATTTCACCGGAGATTTCCAAAGCTTACTTCCTAAATTAAGATGGCTTCAATGGAAGGGATGTCCCTCGGATTTCGTTGCGACCAACTTTCATCCGAAGAAATTAGTTGTACTCGATTTGTCAAACAGTGAAATTTCGGAGGACTGGGGAGGATGGGCTCCACTCAAGGTAAGATGTAAAGAAGGCATTGAAGTATTTTCAATATAATTTTTTTCCTTGTACATATAACATTTGAAAATTGATTTTCATAATTAAACTAGTCGTTTCTCTTTAATCTCATACTATTGAAGGAATACATGGTGCCCAATGAATGCATCTCTCTTCCATGTGAATTAGTCATCTACTACTTGATAATAAAAGTTGCTTCTATTTAATCAGTAAACATTTCCTTTGAAATGTTATTCAGAAATATATGTAGTCGGCACTTGTATATCCCCAACATTCTTTTGCAATTGATGTGCTTAAAAAATATTTATATGTTGGCATAGCCAAACACTACTAAAAAAGACATTTAAAATTAAACAAGACAACTGTGAAGGAGTCGGGGAGCATGGGTATTTTTTGAGGAATTCTAAAAAGTCAAAAACATAAGGAGTAGTGAAAAATCACAGGCTGCTAGAGTCCAATGACATTGAGGTACCATTTCTTTTTTTCAGATGGCAACCAAGCTCAAAGTTCTCGACCTCGAGAATTGTTTATCTTTGAAAAGAACTCCCGACTTGTCTGCTTTCGAAAGCTTGGAGATTTTGATTCTTGAAAATTGTACAAATCTAGAAGAGATTCATCCTTCTGTTGGGGACATCAGGACCCTCGTTTACTTGGACGTCTCTCATTGTGGAAGATTTAAGAACCTACCGGCAGGAGTAGGTAGAATGGTAAAATTGAGGGAGCTTTGCATAAATTACACTGATATACAAGAGATTCCTATTTCGAGAGGTTGTTTGATGAAGTTGGCGACTCTATGTGCCATAAGTTGTAAACGACTTTCTCAACTTCCTAAATCTATGGGCTCCCTTGTCTCCTTAATTCTATTGGACTTATCTTATTCAGCAATTGAAGAATTACCTGAATCCATTAGTTCCATGAAGAAGCTGGAGACTTTGAGTGCCTTTGAATGTAGACAGTTAGCTAGCATACCCAGCTCCATAGGCAATCTAGCATCCCTACAAAGCTTGTCCTTACATAACTGCTCCTCATTGACAGAGATCCCCGACTTGATTGGAAAATTGGCATCATTGACTGAGCTGGACTTAGGAAACACATCGATTACGAAATTACCTGAAAGCATTTGGAATATGCCAAATTTGAGGATCTTGAACATAAATAGAACTAACATAAAGGAATTGCCTGATGCCATCGGGAAGTTGGCAAAACTCCAAAAGTTGAACGCCTCCCTATGCAAAAATCTAGAACGACTACCTAGTAATGTATGCGAATTGGTTTCGCTCGAGGAGCTTTATTTAGAACAATCCATCATTTCGAGCTTGCCAGAAAGCATTTCTAAGCTCTCTTCTCTCCAAGTGCTCAGGGTTGGATATTGTGAAAAACTCCGAGAATTACCAGAACTGCCCTCTGGCTTAACAGCTCTAACTATCACCTGCCAGAGGCCGTCGTTGCCCAATCTTTCCCAGCTGTCCCGTCTCAAGACACTCACTCTTTCTAATTGCCCTCAGCTTGAATGTGTCCCAGAGCTTCCCATTGGACTATCGAAGCTTGATATTAATGGTTGCGGAAAATTGAAAGCGTTCACGAATTTGTCAAACTCGAAGCACTTATCAGATTTGAGGCTCCGCCGTTGCTTTGATCTCGCAGAAGTCACTGGCTTGAAAGGTTCACATTGCCTATCCAACTTACCTACAGGGAAATGCCCTAAGATATCTAGGGTTGATGGGATTGAAGATTCTTCGAAATTGATGAGCCCAAAGGCATCTCAGCTCGATGGATTGCTAGATCTTTCCGATTCAAAGATTCTGCAGAGAATGGACGCCGGAGCAAGTTGCGCGAATTCAGTTGAAATCCAAGACCTTGGTGGATCAAAATCCTCTCAAGTGTCGGATATCCTTAAGTGCACGTCCGCCGGACAATTGCTAGACTTTTCCAGTTTTAAATACCTGAGAAGCCTTTCTGTTCAGGATTGCGATAGTGTAACTGAAATTCAAGGCCTCGATGGATCAGAATCCTTGACAGATTTGCATATTGGCCTGTGCTCTTCCCTTACATCGGTGGACCTCTCGAAAAAACAGAATCTGCGGCGTTTTGCTTTTATCGAATGCGACAATTTAGTTGAAATTCGAGGGCTCGGGAGCTATACACCCTCGCCAGATTTCGATATTTTTGAATGCCCGCATATTATGGGACCTGATGATGGGTACTTCATTTTTCCTTCATGATGGAGGGATCCGCTGAAGTGGAGTTGGGAGGTCGGAGGTCGTCTGGGCCGTGGGGGGGCGGTGGGGGGAAGGATCTCACAGACAGACAGAAGGTGTGTCGGATCTCCTCCCATTTTCTCTTCCCATTCCCTCATTTATTCATTCATTCTTTTCTCTTCCTCTCTTTTCGTTCTTAACCGTTTCATTTTCTCGCTCATCATCATCAGTTGCGTTCGGAGAAAGAGCGAGAGAGAACGGAAGGAGAGCAGAAGTATTCGCGACTGAGGGGAGGGGGGGTTCACCGAGCCCTCGCTTCCTCTCTCCATTTTTTCCCTTCCCCCTCAGGGGGCTCCGAAGCGATCGTTGCTCGCAGACTTTTTGGCCGATTCCTCGAGCTCGAATTCCGATTTCCAGAACTAGATTGAGATGGTTAGTTCTTCTTCTGTTGATTGATGCTTGATTCGCCTGGTTACTTCTTCTCCTCCTCCTTCTTGAATGGTGGAAGGTTGGGGTTGATGTTGTTCCTGTGGAAGTTTAATGGTAGCGCCTGTGTTGTGTATGTATACAAAGAAAATTATGTCAAAGAAGCAAAGGGATTTAGCATTAGCCTGGCGGATATCCTTTCTGGCAGGGTGCTTGTATTTACTGATGAAGTGAAAATTGATTGATGTCGGCGAGTCTTCTTGAATGAGGATTGCTTCATAATACATACTAATTCAGGGATTGATGTTTGTCTACTCACACACAAACTAATACACAATCAATCAAATATGAACTATGGGTATGGGTTGTACCTTTCCATTCTGAGGAGTTTCTCCCTTGCATGAACACAGCATGTGTGACGTTTGCTGGTGGCGAAAGGAATATTAAAAAAGCGGGAGGCAAGATTATTGTGTTCGGTTGTCTGCCTAGTTCTTGGGGCATGAACTTTTGTCTTCCCAGCTCAAAGCACTCTTTGCCTTCCTCTTCAAATGATGTAAAGGAGTCAAAGTTATTTGATGACACTGTTACTTGGATATTCATATATGTTAAATTGTTTTTCCTGTATTTAGTTGCTCCCAAACATTCATGTAATAAAAGAAGTATCTTACACTCCTTTGCTAGGACTGAATGGGGTCAACGAGGTTAACCTATGTCCAAGTATTTGCCTTTTCATCTCTGCTTTTTGAGTGATAAGCTGGTGGAATTTCCACTCTTCATTGATGGTACATCATTGTTATGCTATGCTGAATGCTGATAAGTTCCTCTGGATTAGTCAGAGCATTATGACTAGTGGCTATTAATTATACCTATGCAAGATTTTTACCTTGAAATTCGTTTTTAGGATTTCTATCTGTATAGGTGCAATTAAAAAGATGGAAATTGGTCACATCAAAATCATTCCTAGTTGGGATCAGTAGGAGGATCATTGGATCCATAAAGTTAACCCTAATTAGCAGGTTGGCCTTTAGATTTTGTTTTAGATGTACTACGGGTCACGCACAATGAGAACTGGGGCCTAATTTGGTTTCCTATGAGATTGAGTCCTGATTAAATAGACAAAGTAGGATATTTGGGACTGGGATTAGGAATCCCATTCTACTTCTGAAACAATATTCAAAGGCCAAACCTGTTAATTAGGGCTAACTTTGGGGATTGAACTATAAGGGGATTATAAATGAGAATGAGGTGTTGCCCTCATCCTGAATTAGATTGTATGGAAGATTTAATTGGTGGTCGTGGCAAGGCTGAACATACTTTCTACACAGACTTGGGTGAATCCATAAGCCTTTTGCTGGAGTAAGAATAACTTTTTATTGCTGGAGTTGGAAGTGGGCTCTATCTTCATGAGAGCTTGGGTTGGGGTAATGGAAGGTCTTCTGTGCCTCCACAAACAGCAGTGCAGCACAATGCCAACAACTTTGTGCGGCAACCATCTCTTCTGGCTGGGGACGGAATTTTTTTTTACGTCATAGCATATAGCTCTTTACCCTGTTTATTTCTTTCATCCTCCTGTCTTCTTCTTTTCACTGCCGTCATCTGGTTTTGCGATTGTTTCATTCTCTTCTTTACTTTTGCCCCAGATGCTTCTCTAGTTAACTTTCTTTAAGGGGTAGGAGAGCTTCTTCAGTGATGTGCTTCTGCTGTGGTGATGCTCCTTCTTTTGTCTTCTACTTTTGAGATTCATTCCCTCTTTTCAAAGATAACACACAGGTGTTAGTACAGAAAAAAGATCAAGAATCTATCATTTTAGACCTTAATTTTCTGTAGTCTTATGATCATTGATTCAAAGTATGGTCCAATTTCAATCATTTAGGATCAATCTTAACAACCTTTAGGTTAGATTTTATACTGCAGGGATTGCCTCCCATATGTGTACTGATTAGATAATGAACAGTCGTTTTATGTAGCTGTGACATGCCATCTATGTATAACTATCGAGGTGGGAATGTGCTTGCCATATCGACGTGGGAATTGGCTCTAGGCAATCTGTTGGGATGCAAGATCTCAGGCCTGGTGCTTGTGCTTTAGAATCTAGTATGGTGGAATCCTCTAGAATCTAGTATTGTGGAATCCTTGTCAGTTTCCCACCTTGTGTTTCTGGATTCTCTCTCATGATTGACCCAAATTTTTACTTCCTGTTCTCCTACTCATGTTTGATACACATCACATTTTTTTCATGTCTAGTTCATGTTACATTTCATGATACGTCCTTTATGGGGATATTATAGTGCTTGTGCTGTTTTCAAGTTTTCAATTGGCAGGGATCCTCTTCATAGAGATACATGTAATTGTATTGCACCTTGCTATTGTCCCTTTTTGTTCCTTTATTGACCATATTTTCATTCTAGAGTGACAAATTTTCCATGCTATTAATCGAATAGTTCAAATCAAAGTTTTAATTGTGATCTAGATGTGATAAAGTCATTCACTCGATTGGATGGTGACCAACATGTTGCTGTTTTCTTATCAACAGGCTGTGATAGCAATGGTGCAGCAGGCTATGCAATATGTTGACCAGACAACTGATCTTGAGACCAAGATAGGGCTTATTAAGACACTTAACTCTGTCGCTGTTGGGAAGGTGAATATGTGTAATCAAACTCTATTTCAGCTTATATTCATTGGCAATCTGTTTTTGTTTCGTGGTTTCTATAGCTAGTTTTGTCATGCCAGATATATGTCGAAATTGAGGTTGATCAAGAAACTTGCAAAAATAAAGGAAGAACGGGGTCTTATAGCAGAAGCTATTGATTTGATGCAAGAAATCGGGGTAACTTGAATTTGACTTCTGTTGTCATGTAATTGGTTTTTCCTTGTCCAACATTCCTGTGATGGGTTTGAAGTGCAGGTAGAAAGTTTTGGAGCAACGGCAAAGACAGAGAAGATTGCCTTGATTTTTTAACAAGTACGGGTTTTTGTATTGCTTTTAGCCGTTTATGCACTATTACTATGATTGGTTTTCTGATCGATGGATTTTGCAGGTTCGTCTGTGCATAGATTGCGAGGATTATGTCTGTGTACATATCTTTTCCAGGAAGATCAGCCCCTGAGTGTTTGATGCAGATCCTTCTAAAGGGAAGAAAAAGCCTAAAGAAGATGAAAACGTTGTGGAACAAGTGCCAGCTGATATTCCGTCTCTTCTGGAGTTGAAACGGATATACTATGACTCATGATACGGTAAATTGGTGTTTTGCTTTTTCTGATGTTGTGTCTACTATCTTTTAGCTAATTTGTTTTTGCCGATCAAGTACAATGAAACTTTATGGCTCTATATATATGGCGCATACTCTTCTTCCTTTCTAGCTTTATCGCAAACTCTGACGTTCCAGATGTACTTGATGGATTTGAACTCACATCTTAGTATACCTCGCATTTATGTGGTTAACGATGTAGGTATTACTCACATAACAATGACTACCTTGAGATTTGTCGATACTATAAGGCAATATATGAGATTCCATCAGTGAAGGGCAACCCAGAGCAGTGGATACCGTTGAAGCTCTTTCCTTGTCAAGTCTTCACTGAGTTTTTCAAGGCACAGCTGTTCATTCTGTGATTTAATTGAATGCAGGTTCTAAGGCACATGAACCTATGCAGTTTCTAAGGCACATGAACCTATGCGGTCAAGCCTTCTTAATGCCACTTTAGAGGATAAACATCTCTCAGAAATTCCCCAATTCAGGTACCATCTTTGAATTGTTCTTGGTAATTGGTTGTACATCTTGCAATATCTCAATAATGTGCCATAGAATTCGATCAACCATGCCTTTGATATTTTAACGCAGGTTGCTGCTGAAACAATTGGTCGCGGTGGAGGTCATCCAATGGACTCCTCTTTAAAGTACTTTCAAAGATGAAATTTGAGAATGAGAAAACATGCTAGGAGGTGGACATGTTGAGAAGGCGGCAGAAAATCTTAGACAGGGCCCAATCATAGTCAACAGAAGAATTTTGGCTTCTCCTGGGCAATACAAGCTACCTTTAGCTAGGAGCCTCTTTGGAGAATCATCGAACATGTAATTACAGAACTTGTCATTTTTCTTCTTTTCATTGGATCATCATTCAGATGTGACTCACTCTATTTTCTGCAGAATATTAGTGCCGTTTGAAGTATTGCTTAAGGATTACCTTAAAGAGACTTGCAGAGCTGTTATGCCTTAGTATCGAGGTCTGATTATATGGAACTTTTGTGTATGTTTTTTTATCAATGTCACTCTTTATGAATGATTGCCTAGACCCCTCATTTTACCCTGAGCAGCCTCTCTGCCTGTGATCCCTGATTGGGGCATGGTTGCTGGACTTGGATACAAGTTCCAAAATATGTGTAAAAGAGCTTTTGGTGCATTGAAAGCCAAAGGCTTGTCATGGATTTGAGAATGTTGTCTTCATAGTTTTGTTTTGTACTCTTGGCTTAGTCAACTTCTGCTCATAAACTTATTGTAGCTGTAAGTGTCATTGCCTGGCATTGTGAAACCATTTCTTGTGCCATGGAGCCTGAAATTTTAATGTGCTTTAGAAGGGTGGGAGGAGCTCTGCTATATTGCTAGATATAGCTGAGAAAGCTTTTCTGCTAGTATTAACACTCACCATTTCCTGTGTTACAATTGATTGAATCACTCATGGAAAATAGCTCTGTTTTTGGATTCTCTTACTGCTGTTGTTGAGAGCTTTAATCAATCACATGCCTCAATTTGTTAAATCAACACTATCATCTGATAGATAGACCATATAATGATAATTATGCAAGCTCGTTTGATATTCTATCAGCATGACCTCTTCTATATTACCATTTTAGGAAGCTGAGAAGCATCTCTCCTTAATGGTTTTTTCCAAGTCCCTGGTGGTAAAGATAGACTGGCCAATAGGAATTGTCAGTTTCCAGACGACAAAGGACAGCAATGAGATTTTTAACTCGGAGCAACAAATTTGGAAAAGCTGCTTGACCTTGTCGAGAAAAGTTGTCATCAAATCCCCAAGGAAACCACGGTTCATGAGGCTGCTTTGAGAGGTTGAAGATGTTTTTAGTTGAATAAATGATCTGTCTCCCCTCGAGCATCTCTCTCTCTCTCTCTCTCTCTCTCTCCCCGAAGAATGCTGTTTCACATTGTGGTCTGAAGTGGGGACCGGAGATATTCATGATAGAACTCTGGCGTAGCTGTCTTAGATTTGATTGCATATTTTGTAGGGGGACCAGATCCGGGCTTGTTTCGGACTGAAATGATATACTGAATATACTTTCTGTATAGGAATTTAGTTTGGTCTTTTCATCTTTCTTCTTCCTCTTTCCCCCCGTCCTTTTAATCGAAGATTTGTGGGCTTTCGGGGTCCCGAACTTGTACCATTGGAACTGTTATCAGCGCAAGATGTGCACTCATTTGGACGGAAATAAGCACCTTGTTACAGAATTGTGTTTCGCATTACAAATATTGCTGATGCTTGTGTTTTTCGAACAGCGGGGATAACATTAGCTCTCTAAAGAGTAAAGGTTTAATGAATGCTACTTTTCCATGTCATTTCACATCTGAAATGGGCACCTATTTCTGGGGAGCTTCATTTCAATAAGATAATTGCATTTTTTATTTTCTCAAAAGACGTTACTTTTCTCCAAGTTGATACCTGATACGGGATGAACCTTGTCCTATAGATTTCCAGCTCCTTCATTTTCTTTATGGAAACCGAAAAGATTGGGAAAAGTTGTGGTCACGACAACTTTTGACCATGGAAGAAGCCGTCCCGGAAGGCCGTCTTGCCTTAGCAAGCGTCCCCTCTCTCCACTTGGGCTACGATCTTTCCAGGCAAAAGACGTGACCACAAATTTTACTTTCCGTAGAATCTCGAGTTCGGTCCTTGTTGAGAACTTGCGATGATTTCTGAAGGTGGGTTTCTTTGTTTGTGGATAAAAAACATTGCGGCTGAGACGGAAGTGTCGGGGAGAGGATAAGCGCTCGTCCCTACCGATCTGAGCATCACAACGCCCTACGGAACATACGCTCAAATTGGTAAATTGCAACTTCTTACCACAAAACATTCTTTCAATCCTTGTTCTGGATAATCAATGAGGGCTGAATCAAATCGCTTTACATTTGTTGCTTCAGCGCTGGGATCAGGTTTGGCATGGAAGCATTCGATCGACATCAGTGCAGGCGTGATCAATGCGTACTACAGAGGCCCAGTTGGGGTAATCCTGTTCAACCTCTCGGACGTCAACTTTGAAGTGAAGGTCGGCGACAGGGTTGCGCAGCTGATCATGGAGAAGATCGTGACTCCCGATGTTGCGGAGGTTGAGCACCTCGACTAGACTCTGAGGGGCGAGGGCGGGTTTGGGTTGATGGGGGTGTGAGGTCCGTGTGCTAGGTTTTGGCAATCAAATTTATTGTCTATAGGTTTATTTTCATTGGGTTTTAGGTTGTGCCTAGGATGCACGCAGGCTGGCATGAGCATTCTGTTGGTGAGAAATCTTGTCGAACACTTGGTGTGTAATCTGCTAATCGCTATGTGCTCAGCCCCTCTCTCTTTTATTGTGAAATATATTTGGATCCCGCTTTTCGAGTTGCTAGTTTGCTGGGTTGAGCCTTGCGGCAAGTAATTAGCTAGTCAACTGCTGGCTTACGTATTAGTCCTAGGTGATGGTATTGGGCAACTATATAAGGGGATTCTCAGTGCTTTTACCTAAACTTCTTGGTTTAGTGCCATGATTATGGAATATGTGTGACATTGTTGACTTAGCGGATGCACTATCTTGCAAATGATTTTTTTTAGGGTCTACCACCTCCTTTTGCATTAATTATTGAAGTTAACTTTCCCCGGGTAATAAATTATTCAAGTCGGCAAGATTTGGAAGAATTGCTTAAAAGATGTGCTTTTGGAACTCTTTATTGAATGAAGATTGGGGTTTATATTTCTGTGGAAGTCCAATGGTGCTCCTGCGTAAACAAAGAATGGGTAAAAAGCAAAAGGTTAGCCTGGGATATCCTTTCTAGCAGGGTACTTGTATTTACTTTATGAAGCGAAATTGATCAACATCAATGAGTCTTCGTCACCAAAGGAGTACAAAGTGAGTATCCACCATAACCCCTAGTGTTGTCGCTTGCTCTCAAAAGCAAAAAAAAGAGGAGGAAACAACATACTCAATAGGTAGAAATTGTTGAAATATTACTTGGTAACTTAAAGGAAACATTCAACTAAGATTAGTTATCGGTAAATATCTCCCTAATCTATCAAGTCAATGTAAGATCTTCCGATGTTGCATCCTATCAAGAACACTAATTGGAAGTTCTCATTAACAAAGCAGAGAAATAACTCTTTCAACTGAGTAGGAAAATAATGCACAAAGCTATGAGGATAAGCTGGACATTGTGGTACTATCTACTAGTATTTAGTAGGCAGTTACTAACAAAATACTTTGAACTTGTACTTTTACAAGATGGACCCTCCCTTTGGAATTGAAGTAAACATCTGTGAGTGAAGGATTGAAAGATAGATATCCTTAGTCTATGATGACAAAGGGAAAAGGCACATTGTTTAAGTTAAGAAAAGGCAGATTGTTTAAGTTAAGTAGTTTTATTTTGTTTCATCATCTCTTCAGGGTTTAGCGAAGTCAGTAGTTGGTGCTCCTCTTTGATTTTATTTCTGGTTAGTAGATTTGGTTTACGATTTGAATTATCTTGTATAGGGATGGATTCTTTTTGTTTTAGATGGACAGGTATTTCCTTGATGCCTTACTTATTATACCTTTTACATAAAAAAGAAACCGGGGAGAAAAAAAATTGAGATTGGGTGCTAGAGGGGTGATTCAAAATGCTAATCCTTGTTAGTAGATTTGGTTTAGGATTTCAATTATCTTGAACTGTCGTTGTGTGTAGTTGTAACATGCCATCTAATGAGTGTATGTTGGCATATCTATATGGGTATTGGCTCTGTGCAATCTCTAGAGATGCAAGAATCCAGGCCTGGTGCTTGTGCTCTAGAATCTAGTATTGGGGAATCCTCTTCAGTTTCTCGCCTTGTGTTTCTGGATTCTTCCCCATGTATGCCCAAATTTTCACATCTTCTCGTTCTCCTACAAATGTATGAATCACAAGACTCTTTTCTCAAGTCAAGTTTAGGATACATTTCATGATATGCTTTATATGGGGATAATATAGTGCTCATGCTGGTTGCAAATATTTTCAATTGGCTTGGATACTCTTGATAGAGATAGCTGTAGTTGTATTGCACCTTGCTATTACCCCTTTCGGTTCCTTTTTGAACTGTATTTTCTTTCTAGAATGAATAATTTTCTAATCAAATGTTCAACTCAAAGTTTTAATCGTGCGCTAGACACAATCAAGTCATGACTTGATTGGATGGTGACATATGCATTGCTATTGCTATTTTCTTATCAACAGGCTATGACAGCAATGTTGCAGCAGGCTATGCAATTTATTGACTGGAGTCCTGATCTTGAGACCAAGATAGAGGTTATTAGGACACTTAACTCTGTCGCTGCTGGAGGTGAATATGTGAAATCAAATTCTATTGCAGCTCATGTTCATGAGCAATCCGTTTTGGTTTCTTGGCTCCTATAGCTAGTTTCATTCTGCAAATATATGTCGAAATTGAGAGAGCATGGTTCATCAAGAAACTTAAAAGAATAAAGGAAGAACCGGATCTCATAGCAGAAGCTACTGATTTGATGCGAGAGATTGCAGGAACAAGAAGTTGACTTCTGTGGTCGCTGATCTTGTGATTGGTTTTTTCCTGTCCAACATTGGGTTGAATTGCAGTGGAAACTTTTGGAGCAGTGGCAAAGACGGAGAAAATTGCCTTTATCCTTGAACAAGTACATGATTTTTGTATTGCTTTTAGCTGTTTATGCACTATTACTATGATTGGTTCTCTGATCGATGGATTTTGCAGGTTCTTTTGTGCTTTGATCGCCAGGATTCTGTCTGTGCACAAATCCTTTCCAGGAAGATCATCCCTCGAGTGTTCGATGCAGATCCTTCCAAAGAGAAGAAAAACTTAAAGAAGGTGAAAATATTGTAGAAGAAGCGCCAGCTGATATTCCGTCACTTACTGGAGTTGAAACAGATATAATATGAACTCATTGTACAGTGAATTTGTGTTTTACTTATTCAATGTTGTGTCTACTATCTGTTTTAACTAAAATATTTTGTCAATCAAGCCCTACCTTGTATTCAGTTTACGGTTCATGCCATGGCTTTATTCATCTAACACGTACTCTTTTTCCTTTCTAGCTTTTTTGCAACCTCTGACGTTTGAGATGTACTTAATGGATTTGAACACACATCTACCTCACATTCATGTGGTTGACAATTTAGGTACTATACACATTGCAATGATTACCTTAAGATTTGTTGATGCTATAAGGTGATATATGAGATTCCATCAGTGAAGGGAAAATTCAGAGCAGTTGATACCAGTGAAGCTCTTTCATATGAGGCTTTGTTAAGTCTTCATTAAGGATTTTGAGGCACAGCTGTTCATTCTTTGATTTAATTAATTGCAGGTTCAAAGGAAAATCTGCTGGTACTTAGTTTAGTCACCACATGATCGTATGCAATCAAGCCTCAATGCCACTTTAGAAGATAAAAATCTTTCAGAAATCCAATTCAGGTACATCTTTGAATTGTTTCTAGGTAATTGGTTGTACATCTTGCAATATCTCAATAATGTGCCAGAGAATTTGGTTGACTGTGGCTTCGTTATTTTAATGCAGGTTGCTGCTCAAAAAACAAATTGGTCACCATGATGGTTATCCAATGAATGATCTTTGGAGTATTTTCAAAGATGAATTTAAGAATGAGAAAAACATGCTCGGAGACGCACTTGTTGTGAAGGCAGCAGAAGATCTTAGACAGATCATCGAACATGTAATTACAGAACTTTGTCATTTTTGTTCTTTTCATTGGATCATCATTCAGATGTGACTCACTCTATTTTCTGCGGAATGTTATTGTTGTTTCCAAGTATTACTCGTGGATTGCCTTGAAGAGACTTGCAGAGCTGTTATGCCTCAGCATACAGGTTGATTATGCTGAACATTTGTTTACATTCTTTATCAATGTCAATCTTTATGAATGATTGCCTAGACCCCTCATTTTACCCTGACCAGCCTCTCTGCCCATGATCCCTGTGGGACATGGTTGCTGGACTTAAAAGAAGTTTTGGTGCCTTGTAAGCCAAAGGTTTGTCGTGAGGTTGAGAATGTTGCCTTCGTAGTTTTGTTCCGTAAACATTTCTGACCGACATATATGTGTAGAGTTCACTTAGTCAACTTCTGCTCATAGAATTTGTTGTAGCTATAAGTGTCATTGTCTGGCACTATGAAACCATTTCTTGTCCCATGGAGCCTAAAATTCTGATGCTCTTTAGAAGGGTGGGAGGAGCTCTGCCATCACTCACCATTTACTGGGTTGCCAAAGTATATCTCGCGATTAGAGCTTTCTTATTGTTTTCAGAAAATCTATGTAGCTGAATCACTCAAGGAAAAGAGCTCTGTTTTTGGGGTTCTGTTACCGCAGTTGTAGAGAGCTTTAATCATTATGTATTACCGTTTTAGGAAGCTGAGAAGCATCTCTCCGAAATGGTTGTTTCCAAATCCCTGGTGGCAAAGATAGACTGGCCGATGGGAGTTGTCTCTTTCCATACGACAAAGGACAGCAATATCATCTTGAACTTGTGGGCTACAAATTTGGAAAATCTCCTCGACCTTGTTGAGAAAAGCCGCCACCAAATCCACAAGTAAACCATGGTTCATAAGGCTGCTTTGGGAGATTGAAGATGTTCTTAGTTGAATGAATGATCTCTCTCCTCTTGAGCCTCCCTCTCTCTCACCAAAAGAGAGAAGCTGAAGAATGCAGCTTCACATTGTGCTTTGAAGTGGGGACTAAAGATGTTCATCATAGAACTCTCGTGTAGTTGTCTTAAATTTGATTGGATATTTTGCTGGTGGACCAGATCTGGGCCTTGTTTTGGACTGAAATCATACATGTTTTGGACTGAAATGATACACTGAGTACACTATCTCCATTGGAAATTTTGGTCTTTTCATCTTTCCTCTTCCCTCTTCCTTTTAATTGGAGATTTTTGGGCTCTCAAGGTCCAAAACTTGTGCCAATGGAATTGGTGTCAGTACAAGATTTGCACTCATTGCAACAGAAATGAGCACGTTGTTACTAAATTCTGTTTCGCATTACAAATTTTGCTGGTGCTTATGTTTTTCTAACATTGGGGATAACATTAGCTCTCCATAGTAAAGGTAGATGAATGCTATTTTTTATGTCATTTCGCATTTGAATTTCGTCTTCAGCGGAGAGAGCCTGTTTCTTTTGGCAATCTTGGCCATTGGAAGTTTTAAAAATCTGTTTCTAGGGAGCTTCTGTAACATCCTGAATTTTGACCCGTTACCGAGATCAATGAAGTGTATGTTAATGCTCGTTTGATTTTAGTAAGTCGCGCTCTAAACACAATTTTGCACTTCGGGTATCGACGGGCGATTTTGGGCAAAATCAGTATGGAATTAGGTGCGGAATTACGTGAATGGGGAGTAGAAATTTTATGGCGGGCCTTAGGAATTAAATTGGGTAATATTTATTGGAAATTTGGATTAATAGGGGCTGCGAATTACTGTTCAGATGCTGCGAATCACTGTTCACAAGCTGTGAATTACTGTTCACGGGGCTGTGAGTTGGGTTTTTGGAACCAGTATTTTATGGCGAGAAAGTTCCGTGAAGGATTGGAATTAATCCGACGCCGTTTGGTGGGAGAAAAATGAGAATTTACGGTTTTGCCTCTCCAAACTTTTGGACTGATTTTCGAAGGCTTAAAGGATGATTTTTAAGGATCCGACACCGTATTATGTTGGCCATGCATATATAGGACCGGTATGGACAAAAATTGGAATTTCGGTTCGGGATCGAAAAATTACGAAAATGCCCCTAGGGCTAATTTGGCTAATTCCGAATTTTGGTCAAAATTTTGGGGTTAACCAAGGTTGATTAGGGCTTAACCAGGTCTGGTCAGCTTGGGTTAAGGACAAATGACAAAAGGGCCCCTAAATTATTGGATTGGATCAAATTTGGGCCCTTGGATTAGGGGCAAAATTGTCCTAAGGCACTAGATCGAGACACTTGGACTCCACTAAGACCAAATTTGACCCATTTGACCAGATTGTCTTCTCTCTCTCTCATTTCCTTGTTCTGCCGAGAGCTCCCCCAAATTCTTCTCCCTTTTTGTTTCCGTTTCGGGTTCCGCTGTGGCATTTCGCTCATCCCGGTACCGTTCACGCCGAACAAGATCACCGAGCCGCCGGCCACCACCAACTGTCGCCACAACACCCTTGACCTTCCTCTCACCCGATCGCCCACCTCACCCGTTTCCACCCCAATCGCAAATTCCAAAGAGCGAATCGTCGCTCCCTGCTGCCGCCGTGACCGCCGGCTTGCATCCGGACGCCGCCGTCGATCCTTACCGCGCGTCGGTGATCGACTGCCCGTTCTCGTCGTTCCGAGTCATTAATAGGCGAGTATAAACCCCTAAACCCTTAATTAGTTTATTTGTGCATTTTAGAGGGTAATCAGGGGGTTGATTAGGCTTAATCATGGTCTAATCATGTGTAATGTTGTGTGGGGTGATTAGGGGACCTAATTAGTGCCTAATGAAGTGAGTTAGAGATGGATTATGGCCTAATTGGTGTTCTGTCCTGGTACTGTTCACCAGTACCGAATTTGCATTAAAATGGCTTAAGTTGTACATTAAATGGGTTCATGGATTAAGGCCTTGAATTAAGCATTTTAGAGGCTAATTAGGCTTGGACAATGCTTAATTAGGTGTACTTGGCTATTGGGTGAATAGAGTGTGAGATTAGAGTCTAATGAGGTTGTTTAATTGTGGTTTAATGGGCTAAGTATGTTACTACCGTACTGTTCATACAATCACGAAATTGTGTAATTTGCCTAAGTGTTTCACTAATTGGGTTCAATTGCTAAGGACTTTGAATTGGACATTTTGGGGACTAATTAGGCTTAATTGAGGCTTAATTAGGTGTATTTGGTGGTTGGATGATTAGGGTATATGATTGGGCCCTAATGAGATTGTTTAAGTGTGGTTTAGTGCCTAATGGATATTCTATTCTGGTACTGTTCACCAGAACCGAATTGCACTATATGGCTTAAATTGGGACTTAGTTGGTTCATTGACTATTGGCCTGAGTTTGGCCATTTTTAGGGGTTGATTAGGACTTGTATAAATTCCTATTGAATGACCCCGAAATAGTGAGAATGACTATCGAGATTGATTTGCCCAAGGCGGGCCTTTAGCGCATTGAGTTACTTTGGAAAGAATGCGTGGAAATGAGAGTTGAACTTATTGAACTAGAGGAGTGATAAATTGATGGTGCCGAGGGTGTGTTAAATTCATTGGCTTGGTAATAAGTGTGTTCGGCATGTTGGCTTGGGTATTGGCATGAATTTCTGAGTATATGATTTGTATGCCATGTTGTGATTGATTGGGAATTGAGTGCAACAATGTGCATACCTGAGATTTATTTAATCGGGCCTACGGGTCGTTATAATCAATTGTGGCCTTCGGGTCGGGCCTACGGGTCGTTATAATCAATTGTGGCCTTCGGGTCGGGCCTACGGGTCGATTTTCATCTGTTGGCCTTCGGGTCGGGCCTACGGATCGTTATAATCAATTGTGGCCTTCGGGTGGGGCCTACGGGTCGATTTATCAATTGTGGCCTTCGGGTCGGGCCTACGGGTCGATTTATCAACTGTTGGCCTTCGGGTCGGGCCTACGGGTCGTTTTATCAACTGTGGTCTTCGGGTCGGGCCTACGGGTCGTTATCTCCAACTGTGGGCCTTCGGGTCGGTATAAATGCACGTGATTTGCGTTAATGTCAAATGCCTAACCTGCAGGGCTATGAGACAATGTATTGGGCTGTGAGCCCGGGTGAAATTATGTTGATGTGCTAGTTCATTGGTTGATGCGTTTTATTTACCCTTCTGGAGGTGCACATTAGCCTAGTTTAGGATTAGTGGTTTGTACTTGCTGAGTTTTCTCACGGTTGTGGTAAAACCGACATTTCAGATCCCCGGCCATGAGTAGACTGAGCCCGAGACAGAGTTTGAGGCTATGAGTTCAGAGGAGGAGTCAGAGCAGTCCGAGAGTTCTTCCGAGACGTCTGGATCTGACCCCAACTGGATACCTAGGGCAGACCTCAGTTTTAGGAGCGAGGGCCGATACCTTTTGACTGTAGCCCTCTAGTGTTTAGCCAATCTCCCTAAGCCACCGATCTCTTTTTGTACTCGTGGCCCTTTTGTTGTATGTCTGGTTTTAATGAATGTATATATCGTTTTAATCATTTGTATATTGTTGTTCGTTGCTATTCATGGTTGCTTTTAAATTGTCTGGGTGTATATATATATATATTATATACGTCGTTTCCGCATGTGGCGTGTTTTCTCCGATTTGGGTTTTCGGGTCGGTGACGTAACCTGGGAGCGTCGCATCTTATTTCGACCTATACGGGGATGTTCATCCTTCGTGGGGTACGGGGCGTGACATCCCGGTTCGAATTGGTATCAGAGCAAGGACATCTCGGTCCAATCTGGTCGAACCCTGGAGTGATAAGGAGTAGTGACCATGGGTAGCCATAGGGTGACCTAGTGTGCTAAGTGTACCTCCAGATTGCTTGTGTTGAGTGTTTTGGTGATTAATTGAACCAGTGTTATTCAGGTGCGGCAGGACTCAAGGTAAGTGTGTAAGCCCTTGGGTGAAATCTTGGTGCCGTTGTATTAAGCCGCATGCTGAGTGTTTGATTGCTTTTGTGTTGATACCTGCCTAGGACTTAGACCGGATAGTTGGTTTAGGTCTCTAATTCCTGAACGGAATTACAACAGGTAGTTGAGCACTCAGACTTGAAAGAATGAGTAGAAGAAGGGGCAAGAAACTCAAGGACAGTCCAATGCAGTGGGCCAAGGGGCCCGAGAACCCAGATAGGTTGAGCTTGAGAGGTAGGTATATTTAGGGCCAACCAAGTTTTAAGAACCAAGCAGTAATGGACCCGTGAGTGGTCAGGGTCGTGAGGACATTTGAGGAAGTCAGCAACCTTCTAGGTAGGCAGGCTCAAGAGCGAGCTACCACTAAAGTTCAGGCTGTTGAAGCCGCTGCAGTTGTTGCTATTAGTGATGATGAAAATCCTAACTGAGGTCAAGGAAATGTGATCAGACAGAAGTATCAATGGTTGAGCAGTTTCTGAGATTTAAGCCCTTAAGTCTGATGGAAAAAGGTGACCATGAAGTTGCGTCACTCTCGGTAGAGGAATTGGAAAAGACTTTTGAGGTATTGGGGTGAGTGGATGAGGAAAATGGGATTTTAGCAGTGTACCAGCTGCAGGGAAATTTAAGTGATTGGTAGAAAGCCACCAGAGAAAGAGTATTTCCTGCTGGTACCGCTCAGAGTTGGGTTGTATTTGTTGAGGCCTTTGAAGGCAAGTGCTACCATGAGAGGCATGAGAGCAGAAGTTGGTTGAGATTATGAGGTTTCATCAAAGACAGCTGATAGTGAACCTGTATAAAGCTAAGATTGCTAGGTTATCCAGGTTCGTCCAAAAAATAACGAAGGACCCATTGGATAAGGTCCGGAGGTTCCGTGATAGATTGAAGCCGGATCGCCGAAGTCGGATAGTATTACTGAGTCTGAAGGAGTATAATGAGATTTGTGAGCGGGCCCAGGCAATCGAACAGGAAGTGATAGAAAGGGCTACCGCTTTCGTAATTGGTGATAGAGAAGAAAGGAAAGACCTAGTGGTTCTGCCTATGTGTGATGCTAAGGTAAGGGTGGGCATGGATTGACCATCAAACCAAAATGGCGCGCCGGGATTGCAAGTGGGTCGGGTGATTCAATTTAGTTCTACCGACACCCTAGATCCGAGTTAGTGGGGAGTTGAGGAGGAACCTCGATCCCATAAGTTTTGCCAGTAAAAGCAACCAAGTGGTTGGATGAGGGTTGTTAAGGTTACCTAGCAAGTATGATAGATTGGACGACAGAGGAAGTGTGGCTAAAGGACATGGCGAGGGTGTGCAATTTCCCGATGTTTTTCTCTCAGGAATTGCCGGGATTGCCACCAGGAAGAGGAGCAGAGTTTGTTATCGAGTTTATCTCGAAGTCGCCCTATGCGATGTCATTGTCAGGATTGAAAGAATTGAGAGTTCAGATGCGAGAACTACTGGACAAGAGTTTCATTTATC